CTGAGAAAGGCTAAACAGGTTGCAGACCAGGGAATTAGAATCCTGTGATGCGCCGTCATTCGCCGTCACGGATGGCCATCAATTACAGGGCCCATCTGGGCTCAACACCTACTGTAGGTATACCTATCATCCGACGTATTTTGCTTCTTCGCCTGATGTGGCTGGGTTGGATTCGCAGGTTGGTATCTGGTCCTCGGGTTGTTTTGCATTACTGATGATAGGACGATAATCCAGCGACGACGACGATGATAATGGGTCGCAAACATCGCGCAGGGCGGTGTGTTACACCACTGAAGGAAAAGGAGGGGGGCTGGGCGAAACTCCAAGCACGTTCGTTTTTTTAGATCCCGCATCTTGACGGTCATACATGGCTCTGCATGGTGGGGAGAAGGCGGCCTTGACGCTTTTCCAGGCCTGCATCTGCATCCATCGAGAGGTTATCGAAGAAGCAGGGGTTGTGTCTGGCAACAACGAACCTTCTTCTACTACGTACATGAAGATATATATACATTTTTGCACATTGGTCAAATCATCAAATTACCAGCGAATTTAAAGAAATACATATCACAATGGGGGCCGTGGGAGGGCGAGAAGCACGGTTCACATAATGCTCAGTAGTACATGCATGAGTGCCCTGTGTATGTAAGATATGTACTTATTAACCTGAGTCTGGTAACCTGTGAAGTCGTCACGAAATTGCTGGTGGTCGAGGTGGTTACTTTGATGCCGGACTTGTCTGCGGCACAACTATCGTTCGCATTAACTTAGATATTCGCGTTGACGAGGCTTCTTACGTTGACAGAACCCATATTGGGCTATCTATCTTTTGCAAGGCATGAATGAACCTAAATGCCTTCCACTTCTCCGATCAACGCAAGCGATGGATAGGCAGAAGTACCGCCACAACGGTATCCTACTTCCGCCAAAGTACAGCCTTCTTCTACCTAAGTAAGTATTGTACCGCCCTGCCTCATAGCCATAGATAAAGCGACGCGGGCAGCAAGGCGAAGCTCAAAACCAAATATAGAAATGGCTCTTTCTGGATAGACTCATACTGTAATTGCACTTGAACATCTACACTACGCCAAGTCGGGGCAGAGTGGGTTAGTCACAGCTTTGTTTGTGTCGGGAGTCCATATGGATTGCGACTGAGGTTTGCGTTTCATTACCCTATCTCGAAACGTTGATCGGATCCAGGGCGCATCAAGTCTCCCTGAAAGCCTCCCTGAATGGTGTCAAGTACGTACACGGTAATGTAACAAGAATACGGACCCCCCGGACAAGACTATTTCTGGTAATTACCAGCCTACACTACGCTGCAGCCTACGACTACGACGAACAATTTCGGCAGAGTGGGATAACCCGAATAGACCCTGGGTTTCCTCTGGCTACAGATTATCTACACTACAATAGAAACAATATTGGGATCGATACCTCCTGGCAATGCCCTGAACACCGATAGCCCTGCGTTTCTACATACCTACCTACCAACACGAAGTAACATGCTATGTTGTAGGCATTTGAAAAAAGCAAGCTGCTGCTGCTGAGATGCACCTACCCGTATATAAGTCATCGCGATGATATATATACATATATATATTATATATGATATAAGTACAGAAGCTCTCTAGGTTTCAACAGAAACACCAGAGGAGTAAGTATATCATACGATGTATAGCATCTACAGTACCATGTTGATGCTACGAAAGAGCTGTCTCGTTCCCTTTATTGCCGCGACTCTGGCTGCGGTGGTTCGATTAGGTGAACGAATATGAAATGCACGCAACACACCCAAATCGAAGGAGGAGTCGTGAATTAAAGAGGACTTTGCAAATAAAATACTACATACCGACTGTACCTATATACTTACATGCACAGATATACCTTTACCTTTTACACATGTTTTACATATGAAGAGATAGCGGAGATGATGTGGATGATGTGCTGATGACTCCTCGCCTTCCGTGGCCCTCCCTCATCAATCACAGCTTCCCATATTTCCATGGCTGGGGGGGTTGCCAGTGTGTTGCGGACTTGCAGATGCGCTAAACCACTTGCGCTGGCTGGGTGCTGTAGCGACTTGACCGAAATGGCTCTCTGTCCTCGAGCCCTCTGCTCTAATTACTGCTGTAACCACTACTGTCACCACTGAAAGCAGCGCTGGGAGCGGTGAACTGGCAGCGGAGTTGCAGCGAGTTGCAGCGAGTTGTGCTGTGGCTACCCACCCCGGCTCTGCAGGTGGCATGTACGACGTATTGTATTAGTGAGGTGTGGTGGGGATGCTGCAGGTTGGGCCAATGAATGAGGAACATTATATACTTACTTCTTAAGTTATATGACGCTCCTCGACGCTAAGCTCTGGCTGATGCAGAGTCGTGGATGCGACCACCCTGCCTCGCACGATAGAGCCACGCTTCTGCGTCCTTCGGGAATCAGGGGCGTGGCCTGGGGCCAATGGCGCGCCAATCGTGTCTTTACCGCCACGCCCTCGCGTGTGCCTCCGTCGTGTCCTCCCCTGCTCATTTCGGGCTGGCTGTGGAGCTGTGAGCATGCAGTTCTTGAAAAGGGTCGCTGTTGACTGGTCTGAGATGTTACAGGCGCTGGAGACACATACAGCGCACACATGTCTTCCATGTAAGTCTCCATGTAAGTCTCCATGTAAGTCTCCATGTATGTCCCTAGTCCGTAGAGACTAAGCTTGGTAGGTAGAGACGGGGCCTGGCGAGCGAAAAGACTCACACATGGGTACGATGGATGGGTACACACCAATTCGCTGTGCAAATCCATCCTCTCCTGACCGTCTCTCTTGGGGTCCGCCAGTCTCAAGTCTTCAAAACTCGTCGGTACCCCGAGCAGCCGCCGAGTCCCCCTGTTTTCCCTCTCTCCCCATCGAACAAAGCCGTCGCAATGTTCGATTATAACATCTAGACCCGAGGAAAACAAGAGGCGACTTTCTTGAAAGTCAGCGCGAGTGCCCGTCTGTGTTCCGGACCGCTCTCTGCAACTCTTATTACTCCCGTCTGTGTTGTCCTCCCTCCGTTTCTCCCAAGCAAACACCGGTTTCTTCCCTTGTCTCTTTGTCTGTGTCCGCGGTGGCATTCACTTGTACTCTTGCGCCTACACAAAGGACTCACTCACTTACACTCACACCTGAGCCGTGAAACGACTGTTCCGTCATCAACAGTCTCTCCCCCCTTTAAACGGCATCTCCTTTCCCCAGTGATAAGATCCAATTAGACATATTTTCCCCCAAGCAAAAACAAAAAAAGAAAGAGAAGAAAAAAAAGACAGAAAAAAAAAATCAAGTTCCCCTCCAAAACTTATCCCTCAAGTCGTGTAAACCCCGAAAAGGTTCAAAATCGCAAGAGGAAAGCCTTTGTCTGCATATATGTGTCCATAATTACATTCGCCTCAACCCACGCTCCTCTTTTTGTTTCCTATTCTCGTACACTCATATCCACATTCCGAATGATTCACTCTCCTCTCAGTTCTTTGTTTGCATTACTCACTTGCCACTGGCGTTGAAACGGGAGGGATTCATCCATCAGCTGCCTTTCTTCCAGGCTGCCAACGGCGACACTGACCTGTCTACCTGTCTCTTGTTTGGTCTCTCTGCCTCTGTTTTTTGTTGTGCCACTTGGAGTCATCTGTCATCTGCCTGTCCATTTGGTACCTCCCCCAGCCCCTGTCTAGGCTGCCCCTCCCTCTCCTCTTATAATATTAGCCACCCAAATCCATCCTGTTCGGGTCCCCTGCTAGCGCCCTGGCGCCATCTCAGGCTTCAGCACAGCAAAGCTAGGACCACGTATCTGATCCATCTGCCCTTTTTTTTTTTTTTTTTTTTTTTTTTTTTTCTCTCTTCCTGTACCTGCCCTTGCCCACCCTTGTACCATAACAGCCAGTGTTGTCCGCTGGACGATCCGCTGGAACATACACGCCCCGGGGCTTGACACGCTACGCTACGGGTACCTACTCAGTACCTGATGCTGCCCTCTCCCCCCACCAGCCTTCGCCACCTAATCACGAGATAAGAGTCATCGCGCAGGCGTGCCCAGCGCCCCAGAGGCTGCCATCGACGCTAACAGCTAAGTGAGACCACTGTCAGTCAACCTTCTGGCCACCACCCTGCCACACACACCCCGTGTCCGTCTTCGGTTGCCCCCTTTGCCTTTGCCTTCCAACACGCGTGCGCCGACTCATCCATCCCCCGGCGCCGTCTGAGTCTAAGTCATCCAGGCTTCGCACTCCTCGTTGGCTACCTGTTATGACTATTTGCCATCCGCCTCGAGGCTCGTTTTAAAACAGCCGCCAATCCCACACACATACCTGTCTCCCCCCATGTGTGCCCTGTCGGTTGAAGGCGGTTGCAGCAGCTCGTACCTTGCATAATTCACTAACACCGACTTATACACAGCCCATCGTCGTCTCTCGCAAAACGCCTACCGCAACTGCACGCACACGTCTTAACCCGACACGCCTGACTTACATCATATCCTCGACCAGGCAGATTTGCCCGTGTCCGGTTCGGACCTTCTCGATCCCAACAACACCACAATACCACCACAATACAACACAACAAGTCAACACAACACAACAAGTCCTCGATTTCTTCGTGACACCCTAAGGTAGCGTAGCAGCCAACTTGATGGATATCTAGTTGCTGCACCTGCCGTCACAACAACCACTTGTTTCCCCAGTCGAAACAACAACCACACAATGCTTGCGATATCCTTTCTCTCCACTCCAGTCGTCTGTCTCGCCTTGTCCTCCGGTCTGATCGTTCGTGAAACCCTGGTGCTAGTTTCTCGCATTTAACTACTCACCTTCTCTCGATTCTTTGAAGCTCAATAACAGTGTATCCTATGTCGCTGTTGTGAGGACGCTACTTGGACGATAGATTTCACGCTTACACCTACGGTACAACGATCTCATTGGTTGACTCTGCTTGACGGGCGACTGGAGGTTTCCTATTACGACCTCGAACCCCCACCACCTCCAAGATGATGTACAGCGAATATGATTCGCTGAGCTGCACCATCAATCCTCTCGAAGATGGCCCATACAACTCCTCATTGGCTTCGTCTGCCTCATCCTCCTCCACTTCCGTCTTTTCGGAGCCATCATCTTTAACTTCCGATATCTCCTCACTCTCGACAACATCGGATTCATACCAATCCGATTCTTGTTTTCACCCTCAGCAACCCAGCTTTTGTGGGCGCCCGCGAAGTGGACGATCGCAACATGTTGATGTTGCCCAGTCGCTTAGACAGAATCCACGACGGACTAGCAGCAGTTCGGTAACCAGAAATGGCCCTCCTACCCTTGCACGTCAAAGCGACCGCAAACTCAACTTTGTCGATAACCTCGTTGGTAAGCTCAATAACGACCAATTCCACATCTAATGACACGCGCTCAAACAATCTAGATTCGTCGACCCAAATAGTCGAGGCGATATGGCCTTTGGCCTCAGTGTATCATCGCCAAGAGATGGGTCACAAAGCTGTGCTACCCTTGCGCACCTTTATTCAGGAGACATTGCGCCGCTCGCGCACCAGCTACTCAACCTTGCAGGTCGCTCTATACTATTTGATTCTCATCAAACCACATGTTCCGCAACATGATTTCACTATGGAACAGCCTGAAGATGTCCATGCAACCCGCGCACTTCAGTGTGGTCGTCGTATGTTTTTGGCCGCCTTGATCTTGGCATCAAAGTATCTCCAAGATCGTAATTATTCAGCTCGGGCTTGGAGTAAGATTTCTGGGCTGGCAACTCTGGAGATTAACCAGAATGAGATGGCTTTTCTGAGTGCCGTAAACTGGAAGCTCCATATCACCGATGTTGTCTTCAAACGTTGGACGGAGATTATATTGAAACATACACCTTCCCAGCCACCTCCGGGCTCTGGGTCCCAAGCAATCCTCGAGCAGTGTTTGGATTGGAAGAAGCTGATTCTGCAGCTTGAGCCGGATCTAGATAATCTCGAAGATTTGATACCCATGAGTCCCTCGAGAAGAGTTTTGGTGTCTTTGCTAGAGTCTCCAAGCTCATCTCCTGTAACTCCACGGGCCCGAACCACCCCCTTAACCGAAGCCCCCGATGCAACACCCACCCCTAAGAATATTGCAACTCCGGCGATAATGGAGCCAGTGCTGTCCTCAGTGAATACGCCTGGACGTCTTGCGCCCGCTCTCGGCTTGCTCCCTACGCCACGCCTCACGCCGCAACCAACTGGGTTTTGCACGCCTGCTGTTACTGCTGCCAACTCAATGCTTGGCGGAAGGTGCTCCATGGGTTTTGCGCTGGCCCAAGCTGCACAGGTATCTGCATCGCAGAACCTGGACAGGTGGCCATGCTCAATCAATACTTCACCTCGCAGTTACACGCTGACACGGCGTCCATCCCTTGCCAATTCTATTTCCTCGGCATCCTCTCCGGAGTCGATGATCTCGGACTCTTCACGCACTTCACGCTCATCCTCAATCTCATCAGCCTCGTCGCTGGCCAGCGCGCCGTCTGTCAAACTTGATGTTCAGGCGCGATGCCGGAACGCGAAGCTGTATGGTGAGAGGTATAGCTTGAAGCCGGCTATCGCTTCGGTCCCAGAAGATTACGAGGAAACTTGCATCACATCATCGCCCGAATCTTACACCGGCACGGTGGGTAAAGATTTGTACCAAATGTCATTGGAAACACCATTGGCTAGGCGAGATTGTGATATGGAGGACGCTGAAGATGCGGCACGCGCGCTGCAGGAGCTTCAGAATTATCACCATTCAAGTAAGCGAGTACCATTCCCGCGCTCGCGGTCTGGCTTAAAGCGAGGCCGACGAGTATCAACAGACGACTCTCTGCAAGAGAACGTCCGTGAGCTGCTGAGCGGACAGTGCTACCCGTATAATGCAAAGGAATGGCAGGGTGGAATGGTCGTTAGCCAGTCGGCAACCGATATTGACGTTCGTCAAACGCCTGTTCAGACCTCACATGATGGATGCAGGAAGCGGCTCTGCTGCTCTGCTGAAGCTGCTATTCACCCCTACGTTATCCCCGCGATCCATCCAGCAGTTGGGGGTCCTGGTGGTCCGGGAATGTGGGAAGGTATTCTCAATTAGAGATGCCGAAAAGCCTCAGCCACCTATGATAAAATTACTACACACCGAATCCTTGTGATAATATTCAACTGTTTCCTTTGTGTTTGGGGAACTGCATTGATATCGGACTCTTGATACCACCCTTGCAAGCTTACTTAGTTTATAGACCACCTGAAAGGCAGGTTCAGGAGATGCTTGAAAAGCGTGTTACTTAATCTCCATGCATTTTCTGGAATACGGCATTATGGAAGGGTTGCCGAGAAGGCTAGTTACTGTTTGTACGATTCATTGCAGGCCGCGTGAGGCCGTGTATGGTGTTCAGGGGTAATTTTTAGTGCGGTATGGAGTGTGGGGGAACGTTGAAAGGCAAGTAACACGAGCAGCATCACAACACCTTTTTGCCCGAACGAGTATTTCGGCGACGGGAAAGCTTGTGGCCAAATTGCATCAACTTGGAGTTTGGGGCATTTGTTCCGACTTGGTTTGCTTGCAGGACTGAGAGTCTTACCGACCGATCGATATTGGCACCCGTCGAAATACGATTGTCATTTCTCCTAGGTCGGTGGTTGCACAAGCCCAAGTTCGAGTGGAAATGATGAAGAAACTAGTCTACAGAGTTTTTGCAGCCTGAAAAAAGCTACTACTAGCAAACAACTAAAAGCTTTAGATGACATCTGGGGTAAAAGTCCAGAGACACAAACCTTGAAGATAGCTTCCAAATCTGAAAAACCGCTTTGAGCAGGACGATGATTGCCGCCTCTCCTTCGTGCAAAGAAAAGCCAAGCCAAGCCAAGCCTATTTTAACATACACTGTTTTTCTGTCCTTCATTCTTCGATTCCTTGTGTTACGAATTGCGCTTGATGCCTTTCCCAAGATGACCCACAGGATTGGGTTGGCTGATGAACGAAACGTGCAAGTTCTGCCCACATCCACACGCACACCAAAAACAATACTAGGGCGCCCAACTCACAAGTGTTTTGCTCTGAAACTTGTGATTTGCTGACTGTGATCAGGTGGGCATGATGCGACAGTTTCCAGAAATTCCTAAGTATATCCATTCCCCCCCTCGAATACCCGGCGTGGTGAGTCATTGATGTTTGTACTTTTAAAAAAAAAAAAAAAAAAAAGACTCCCGATCCAATCAAATCATGGGTGGGTGGGCTTTTTTCTTTTACTTAAATCCTTTGGTGGTGGTTACTGCTAATGGACCTATCTATCTAGGTACTAACTGAAAACTTGGATATTACCTAGGTATGTGTATTTACTTTAATTCTCTGGTTTAGGCGGCGCTGCTTTTGTATCTGTATGTCTATCTGTCTATTTATATAGATTGGTATGAGCGGTGCTGGTCTGTTGAGAGGTTACTTGGGTACCTAAGGTAAGTGCGGTAATTCCACTGTAAGTATTAGGAAATGAGGGTTTGCAGAGGATGGGAGGGGAGGGGGAGAATATCCGTCTGTGTCATGTAGGTGTCATGTAAAGTACAAAGGCAGATTAGGCTAGGTAGGGAGGGAGGTACCTAAGGTAGGCCAGTCGTCCATTTAGTGTCCGGTTCGGATAATCACAAGTCCATTGTCCACGGCGTGAATCTTGGCGCAATGTTTAGAGGGCCTGAGACGCTGTTGTTCACGATGGGTACGTAGGGGTTGTGAGACTGGTTACGTACTTACCTGTTGATTTATGATACTGTACCCCATGGCGCTACGTTGTTGTTACTCCTCGTGCGTGGGATGTGAATGTATTCACTTGCTTGCTCTTTTATCATCGTTATGTTCCCTGCCTGGATGGGTGACTGGTGTTGGTAGTGTGTGAAGCTACTGTGTAAGGAGGTAGGTAGATACAAGCTACGATACCACCACCCATCCCATCTCCTCATCCAACCATTCTTTATGGGTTTGTAGGGAGGTTATTTCCCTCATACACACCCTGTTTTCGCAGACCTAACATAAACTGGCGTACGGACTTATGGCAGGCCCTAGTTCGGGTTCTGCGCTCGGGTTCTGCGGCACTGGGGTTGGCTGGCTGGCTGACTATGATAGCTATCACCAGGTGTGTGATTCATCGGATGGTGAGGGAAATTTTTCATGCCTTCTTTTGCCACATGTGGGCTTTTCTTCTTATTAGGTCTGACTCTTACTTACTACTTACTATACTATATTTATGTATGGGTGTGCTCAATATATCGCCGTGTTGCGGGGGCACAAATGGTAGGTACGTGGCCTCGTGGTGTGCCTGCATCGTGGCTCGAATGCGTACTTACTTACATGTATTTGCTGAGACTGGGTAGGGTAATAAAGATGTGTTTTGCGGGATGTATAGTGTTGCTGGTATAGGTGTGGGTAGGTAGGTCTCTTTGAAGTTTGGTTCACGGTGCTGCTTGGATGGGAGGGACGGATGGTGAAATATGGGTTAGGGGATGGACGGTGAGTTGTACGCATGCATCTTATTCATTCTCTTCTTATATCTTTGGTTTCTTCTCTTGCTGTCTCCCATGGATTGAGAAGCGATGTTTGTCCAGTCTCAATGATATGTATATTCGAACTTGTTTTACTGAAGTTGGTGTGATGACACACATGTATATATGCATGGGATCCCACGAGTTTGGTTGATGTCTATCAAACTCGTTTATCTTCCCCTCTGTATGACAAACTATTTCAAATGTTATGAAAGTTGGGTTGGTAAACCTCAAGCGTTAATCACCTAGGTTTTATCCGGACCACTATGTCACATATAAGGAATCATGACAGCAAATCCCTATGCTTGCTACCTTGTCATCATTGATACGATATATACAACTGAGGCTTTTGCTGAGTTTTTCATTTGACTGAAGTTTCAGCTAGTAGATCCTGGTCGCTGAATAGGGATCGAAGTTGTTTTAGTTCTTGATCATGCCCATCGATCGATCGATAACTCAACATCATTGAATGGGCACCTAGCTTTACTTCACGGATGAATCTCAAATCGGTCTAGATTTACGTACGATAGGAAGGTGAACCGTGATCAAGGTGGACCTGAAAGCGATGCTGCTTTGGGGTCGTTGAAGCTTACAGCCATTCGTGTACATATTCGACCATGGGTAACAACCGGCCATCTTGCTTGCATTTACGATACTGCATTCTCGGTGTAAATAATTCACACTCGGAGACCGTGGAAATGTTTATCATTTTCTACTATGGCATGACTTCTTCTGGCTAGGAGATATCAGGGATTGAAGTACACTTAACCTCTAGCCCCTTATCCAAGTTCCTTATACTACATCCAAATGGTTATTGAATACACTGCATTACAGGTAGTATGCAGAATAGTAATGGGGAAAGCCTGTAGCACTCCATACAAGGCTTGGAAAAGTATTTTACAAGTGACTGAACTGGTAAGTTCCTTCGTATAAGAGTGAGACTCAACGAACTAACAAACCAAACGTAGTGGTCTTCATGAGAAAGAGCGTAGATATCACCGTATAAACCTATAGAGTACCTGACATGCTCAAGCAGATTTCTCAGGAACAGTAAAACCTCAGTAGATATGATTCTGTTATCTGTCGTAAGAACTACCAAGAGTACCAGAAGCGACAGCCACGCATCGCTGGGTACAGACACATGGCGATGGGACATGTCTTCGCCATTCCTAGTCCTCATGAGTCCACTGCCTTGTATCATCAATCCCCAACGCCTACGCGATTGCCAGCCATGGCCTAGACGTTTGTTGTAAGGAGCAAATGGCTGGGTCGCCAAACACCACTTCACAGTACCTCATAACGACGAATCAAACTGGTAGCAAACCACACATCCATCCATATAAACAAAGTCCCAGGACCTACGGAAACAGAAAATTTCGTGAGAAGTTTTAATACTTCATTGACCACACAGCGATAAGCCAATACTTCATCAGACGCACCGCAAGGGCTAGCGTAACTTACCATCGGAGCGAGTTCAGCAACACATAAAAACACACAGAGCAGTACGGCGAAAACGGCTCCGATAATCCCATCATGGACAACAAGGATACTATTGCCTGCAGATTGAGCTATCTGTTCCTACGGAAGATTCCGTCCCTCCGAGCGCACATACTGCTGATGCAGACTTGCATCGAAGCAATGAGCGATCGCTTAGATCAGTCCGAGGCACGACTTACAACGATGTAAGGAACAGTCCGATATCTCAGAGCTATTACCCGCGCGAATGGAAAGAAAGAAAGAAAGAATGGATGCTGATATAGACAATAGAGAAGCACATATCGCTGCCCAGGCTGCGAATGGCGAGACATCAGCGAACGGACGGCGGTTTGGGGACGCTATGCGGGATCATTTAGACGAAGAGTGCGACCGCGTTTTTGAACTCGTCGACAGGTTGGTAGAGTTAGTGGGTAAGTGGTATATTTCTATTCGTTCGAGATATATGATATACAATAGGGACAGTTTTGACATTCGATGCGTAGATGTGCTCGATGATTTTTTCCTGGATGTGCAGGGGGAAGAGTAGAGATATCTCATCAAGACTCGCGATTGGAAGGAAGCGCCATTTGAAATTTTGAGGCAGGCAAGGATAGACTCCGCGGGGCTATGATGGGTGTTACATGAAGGATATTTCTGCCTCCATAGAGATCTTCGTATCGACCTCGTGGAGATTCCTGTTATTGGATGTTATGTCGCGCGGTTAGAGCTTCATCGCATGAGTCTAAGGAGAACAGAGACATTAGATTCGGGTCCCAATGATCCGATTTTCCATAGATCAAAACTTATGAATAACTATCTAAGAGTGGTGACGCATATTTATGTCAATTGATCAGTCTATAAAAACTTGGTTTACAATACACGCCAGCTCACTGAAGCTCTTCTCTTAAGCTGTCCTACATGGTTAGATTGCACAAGTAATATGACAAAAGCCAGTGATTGAACGGACTACCGACGACAAAGTGACAGAGTCACGAGCAACACATAATGAGATAGCGAAACTGATATAGTTGCATCAATATAGTATAGATAGTGTTCCTAGCTCTATAATGGGTATATACCGGATGCTATTACTTGATTGTTCTTTGTCTTTGCCCGAATGACGCTTAGAGATGGGAATGATCCTCGCAAAATGACAAAGTCGTGAGCTCGACAGCCTAGGTAGTCTACAGAAGGGCCCCTCCTCACATAAAACGCCAGTTCCTCTATCTACAAGCAGTTGTGAGATACGTCACTCATTCCTACACATAATTGTTACACTACCCCTGAGCTGTAGGGCAAAATTACACTTAGCTGGCAGCTAGCTCACCACCAGCTTTTCTTAGGAGTCTTTCTGTCGTCAGCCTTCATCATCTGAAGGCGCCGTAGTTTCTCGCGATTCCGAGGATCCAGTAATCCAACGTGGCCGTCGTCGTGGAACCAGTGGTACTCTCTATCTCGACCGGGTGGTGCTTCGCCCTGCATTTTGATGCGCTGCAGGTTTCGCAATTTCGAGAGACCGTACTTGCACACCAAGAGGGACATTATGATGGAGGCACCAGTGACTACGCCGAAGCCCCAGTTTGTCTCTTCGATAAAGTTCTCCAGGTTGGCACCGTATAATCCAGCGATAAAAGTGCCCATAGCCAAACCCAATGTGCCCACGCTGAACTTCAGGTCAAGCAGCATTAGAGAGTTGCGATTTGCGTCTAATATGGCACGGATGCTAGAAGATACGTGTTAGCTGGAATTCCCATTATAGGGTTGGTAAACCTCACATTTCCTCGGTATTGCGAATCGATGACACCAAGTTTTGCGCTTCTTGCACGATTTCATCGCTGAGTTTATAGTAGGATTCCAACAACATCTCCACCTCTGTATGATCATCAAGTTGTCGCTGAATGTCATGCGTCTTCTCGGTCAGGTACATGGCTACTAGGTCATCGTCGGCTTCAAGAAGCTCGTCAATGGCATCACGAACAAGCTTCGCTTTTTGCTCAAACGTGCTAACCCGTTTAGAGAGGATAAGAAGAACACGCAGTTTATGTCGATCGATGTCGTCCTCTAGCTCGCCTAGAATGCGAATGACAGGGTCTCGCACGGCCTCGAAGTCGGCTTCTAGCTCCTGTGTGACAGATTGTAATACAGCCTCAATAGCGCGGAACTCGTACGGAAGACCGCCATTCGTTGCTGCTGTCTTCTGCTGGAGTTTGCCTTGCAGATCGTACATAAAAGCAGACTGGGGGTAAGACGCCTTCGTACCATAGACATCAAAAAGGAGTACTCGATTGTGTTTGATTAACACTTTCAGATGGAGCAGGTTGAGAAGTATTGAGGTAGGACGGACGAGAATATGCGGAAGATTGGACGAGTCGATTTTGCGCAGATCACGGGGTAGGAGACCAAACTATGCTGTGTTAGTGAGACTGTTGGCAATTTACGCAGCAATGGAGTCGCATATACCCTCGCAATCAACTCGGTTTTCTTGAACTCGCCATCTATCAATATGACATTGCCATTCTCATCCACCTCGGTACAGCGAAGTCGGGGCTCGGAGGCAGCCTTCTTACTGAGTTGGCGGGGTGTGTTGAACATGGAATTATTACCACCCTCACCATGGGCTTCGGGGAGATCATCAGGTTCCAGTGGTTGGCCAGGTCGTCGCGCACGTGGTTCCCATATTCCCGAGAGCCGTTCTTGCCATGTCGGCTTACATGGCGTTAGTTGACGACCTGAGGAGTCATGCTTCCAGCGCAAAGCAATATTCGGATAAGGCGAACGCTTGATCCTGGCCGCTCGGGAGCTCCGGGACAGAACAAGGGATTGGGGGCCCAGTGAAGTTTCCCGTAGAGGGGCTGACTGGTACCGGGCTATACACTTGTTCTTGCGGGGTTGAAGTTGTCCTGCTGGGAATGAAGAGACATTGCGGCGTGGACAGGAAAGGTTGAGGCTCTCTGTTTGGCGGCGGAGAAAGCGCAATAGCCCGACCGAAGGCACAGGCGACCGAAGCGATGCCATCTTGGGAAGTGAGAGGAGGAGAAGAAGAAGAAGAGATTAATTAGGGCAATGCAATGGACAGGATTAGGTCCATGATCTCTAGTGACGGGGGCATCTCCAGAGCTTGGGTATCGTCATCAAATCTTCAGGTGCGTAGCGCGGGCGCCAGCGCGAGAGATACTAGTAAAAAAAAAAAAAGCTGATGTTGCGGTACGTATTACAAGAACTATCTGGCAGCTGCACAAGGCCACAAGCAGCGATTGCTGGCAGTGCCAGGCGCTCGCCGCAAGATACCTAGAAGAAGATAGTGCACCATTATGGCGGGGCTTCAACGAGCCTCCCTCCCTATCCAACCCTCGTCCAACCCCCAAGAGGGAGGTAAGGGATGGTATCGAGTAAATGTGCAAACCTAGAAGATGAGTATATATATACCATCTTGGTTCTTGCATAGCTGATTCTCGCAATTTCTACCACCTGTGCACATGTTAACTCATCACTGATATCACCCCATACCTAAAAATAACTCCTAAATGGAACTGACACCGATCAAGGTGCGCGGCAAACGACGTGCCCAAGATGAACTGGCTGTTGCACCTCCACCAAAGCGTCCTCAAAAAGACCCGAGCGTAAAGAAGGACGCCAAGGCCCGCCGTCCCAAATTCTCCAATCTTGAGAAGTCTATGCCTCTTGAAGTTCTTGAGCACATCTTTTGGCTGAGCGAAAACGTCAATTTCCCGCGGGCCAGTCTTCGTCTTGGACGCCTGCTTTCCGGCGCCGCCACTCTGCGCGGAACTTTTCTCAGTGCCTTTGGACCTACATGGGACAAATGTTTTTCGCTCAGGGGTCGGCAGCACATAGTCGTTCACATTGATCATTCTGTTCCAAGACGAGATAAGGATGAGTTCCCTGGAAATCCCGACTTTCAAGTCCGCCTCCTATGTTCTTTGCCTGTCTCCTGCATCCTGCAACTAACCTAATCTCTAGACCGTTATATTAAGACACTCGTGGGTTACCATTGATGTCATTCTTGATTGTTGGGATATCTGGGTTCGACGCAATGCTCGAGAAGATCTGGCTTTCGAATACACTCCATTATGGGGCCATCCCACTGATCCCGCTCCTTATGCAGACTCCAGTGTTACAATCGGGGCTACTAACATTAAAGAAGCTCGGTTTTATTTCTATCAAGATTACTATACGTTCCGTAATATTGAGGACGATACGATGAAACCTATTACGCAGTCATGCTATCCCCATTGGGTCGAGGTTCACATATGTACCGAAATTCCAGACAACCTTATCACCGGCCCATGGGATGAGCCCTCACTTCAGAAGTTCTTCTGGCTTGTGCGAGGCGGTGCTCGTTTAGCTCGTCACCAAACATGGGAAACTACTCATAGGGGTTTCTACAACGCTGTTACCGCCAATCCGACCTGTCCTAATCTTACTGCCCTGAGATTACTTCACCTCCTAGATGCATTTAATGATTGGCCCCCATATATCAAACAAGACGAGCTCTCCAAAAGTTTGGCTAAGAAGGAGAACTTGCCGGCTTTGCGTTGGCAATATTACTACATTTCCGAGGTCTTGAAATTTTAGATGAATTCCTAGTATAGCAGGCCCTCACCAGCCTTCGAATACCGTTGGAGGGTTTTCCATTCGTCCATGAATACAGCTTCCGGGATCTGGCATTGGCATATTCAATAGCAGTGCCTAGCCTGTATAAGCCGTGTTAAAAACGTGGACATGTCATCTCTGTTTCATTACAACCAGGTTCTGACAGAGCGGATATCCGAGGAATGCAATGAAATCTCTTCTTTCCAACGTCTGGCTACCTCAACGGCTAAAATAATATTTACCAAAACACCAGCATCACCCCGATTTTGATAGCACATCAGGCCTGTGGTGCTTCTATAAGCCGATGTAACTACACATGTCTAGATGGCCCAACCCTTCTGTAAGTTTAGGCCCTGATTAGGATTCAGGCTTTCCAAGTTCTCTCACATCAAAACTTTCGGGTTGTTTATCGTAGCGCTGCAGAAGCTGCTTTATCCTCCCAAAAGGTCTGACGTTGTTCTGTTTGCGGGACATAGAGGGCTGAAAGTGGCCAAATAGTGCCTTCGTCTGCGGATTTCTGATGAACGCAGCCACCGAAGCTTTATGAGTCTGCACAGGAACCCGACATCTATAACCATCGAAATTAGCGGGCTGAAGATGGCTGTGCGAAGTATACACGGTGGAACCTATGAGGTATCGTTCCAGGGGCAGATGCAGTCTCTCCTGGATCGCATCCGTAGTGATCGAGCACCTTGCTCTTATCGTCGCGACTGGATATAAACACTGTCGTCGTTGCCCTGTCGAGAAAGCTAGGCAGCTCTGCCGTACCTGTACTCTTAAATCAGGATATTCGTTCTCATGCACACGATGCCCGAATGAACACCGTTGCGTTATTTTACTACACGAGCGAATAGTCTGGAGCTGACGTGACACGCATCGCTGGCTTCCCTTTACGAATTATTCTGCGTTTGTCTCATCGACAGTCTGAGAGACGAGGCCGTTGAGAAGGTGGTTCTTCTTGAACAGGGACATTTGAATCTGTACTAAGGGTATTCAGTCTCACGTAAACATTAAATTTACTCAGCTAGCACTTTGTGAGATTCTCGCATTTTTGTTTTAGATACAACAACATCGCCTGCGACCATGGCGTTACGTACCATGGCGACCTATCAATAGCTTAAACGTGATCTAGATTCTCGGGTCCTTTTTGACAACAGAATTACAACTATGGATGGCTTCTACGAGGTTGTTGTTGGCGGTACCTCGGCCTTTATCGTATTAGACACCGAACATGTACCGGTCGAAAACGAAAGCCATCGCATACTTCACCAAGTCGGCCTTACGTATTTTCCAGCTACGTCTATGGCCATGATGATTAACACTTCTATCCCCAGAAGACCATGCCTTGGCGATTTTTACGAGAGATACCAGCTTCAAAGCCTGACCCTTAACATAGAACTGAGCGATCAGTTACAAAAGGATCTCATCCGTTTTCGAGGTTACGTTCCAAAACGTCGTCTCAGCCGGTTTGCCCAGGAACGACAAATCAATCTTGGTAGCCTAGCACCCACGATCATCGAATTTATCCAATCTTGCAGTAGCTCAGATCCTAATATAAATTTTGTCTTAATCGGAATCGAAATGGCAGCCGAATGAAAGTACTTCCCGAGGACCTTTCCAAAGGCCATACCGTACTTCTCCTCATGGACAGACCTCCGCGATATTGGAAAATATATAGCTTTAGCCAAATTTTTACCTGCGCGGATCTCTATGCCTCAAACTTTTGGGTACCACTGGAAAGACATTAAAGGCAGTAATCGAAATGGTTCAGCTGATAGTGCTGGAGACGATACTGTATCGACTTTGGCTATCGCAAATGCTTTCTTTTCCCTCGAAACCCAAGACTAGCTACGTAGCCGAGTCGCTCGACAAAAAGGAGCGGAAACGGGCTCTCTTTCTCTTAACAACAAGATTGCGCTTTTACAGGCTATGAGCACTGCTGAAATAAAAGAGAAGCAGCGATCAAGAGAATTCAAAAAGACACAAGGCCCAGAAAGCGCCTTTAACAACTTGGGGGAAACCTTTATCGGACCTTGCTAACAGGGTTTCGGGATTTCGAACTGGCTCCGGCTAACCTTATCTACCTCGGTAGCCAACCTGCGCAGTCACCTTCATAGGCTGATTCTGTTGAGTGAGGGGATTGACAATGGATTATATTGATGTTGTTAAGTAGAAGTTCTAGGTTGCTGAAGGAATCCACTGTAAGGGGTAATATAGCCACGCCCACCGTACCTGCTAACACTCAGCCAGACTCCCTCGCCACAAGCACCGCAAATGCGAAACCACATCGTCAATCATTACGAGATTTCCTCATCTTTTAACTATTCGTACAAATATTCCATCACTTCAATCTTTCCAACAGATTCCTCACCTGACACCCGAAAAACACACACACAAATACCACGCATAAAGGTCTCATCACAGGAAACAAAAAAACAACACAATATGGGCGCCAGTATATACATAACTATTGGATATCACGCAGTAATTTCAATCCGATAATTTCGTTCATAGACCATAGTCAACCATAGTAAATTCAAAAATAAAGGGGATCTATATCGTTTCCCTCCGTAATGAAGGGGGAAAAGAAGATAGCGAACCGTTTGCTCGAGCTATACGGTTGGAGACTCTTCTTACAACGAGGATTTTCTTCATTATTATTTAGATGCCCAATCCAATAGCGAAGTGATGCTCAGTAAACCACCTACGGGCAATTCAGTTTGTCGGGAGTCTACAGACCTTGTAGCCGGCACTCCGTCAACGAAGCGAACTCCTAAGCTTCATACTTAGATAGGTACTATAAGACGGACATATTGACCAATGATCTAGCCTAGCATCTAAATGGCGTTCTGTTAGCCATCGGCGGAAAAGTCAGTATCTTGAGAAAATTTGTTTCCTAATCCTAACCAAAGCAACTAGTTTGATTATTCTTACTAGTTGAGGGCATCCATAGCGACGATGACGAATATTTGCCTACAAAGAATCGCACCGACAGGATCGAAACCAGCAAATATGCATGAGGATGAAGCTGGTTGTCACAGATGCGACTACGCAATGGTGAAGATGCGTCCGACCGGAGAGAACGTTCCCCAAATCGCGCCTCCATGTGTTGCGTAGCAAATCGCTTGATGTCCCTCACCGAGCCCGGGAGTGACGGCCAGATACTTTGTCTTTGAAGGGGCGATTTACTTCGGATGAGCAACGTGACGTCAGCATGCCTTGCTCAGTCCCCGGGTTGCGGATTGCTTGTGACACCGTATCGTACAGCTGGTAATTTGGAAGTGGAAATCTACTTCATCTCCCAAGGCGCGCGCCTAGATTAATTGAGGACACGACAGCAATGGACTTCGGCGACCATGTTTTATGTATATTGGATAGGCCGAACAATTCCAAGTTGCATGGTAGTAGTTGCTCTTTATACTTTTGCACTTTGTATCTTCCCAACAACTTGGCTACTGATGGTGAAAACCGAGCCTTCTTGTTGCAAGATTAGAAGATGACGTATCAGGGGCTTCTTAGACCATTGATCACGATCATCTGCCAGTGATTCGTTGTGTCCTCCACCCAACTCGCCAAGGTAGGTAACGGACAGACAGAAGAAATGGCCCAGTTGGTATGAGATGGAGAATGGAGAATGTGAACCAAGGCCGAGTTGTAAGTATGGAGTTTTTCGCTCCGCCTGCCAGGCTTCTTCGCTGTAATAGTTGGAGTCGAACCTTGGCTGCCGATGATGGCATATCCAGGTGCCCATACCCTTGTCCAAGGCAATTTACTTAGCATATGGACTGGGCAGACTGGGTGGGCGATAATAAAGAGAGGGGGTGAATGAGATGTCATCTCGATCTGAGACATAAATGTATATCTCAATTCTGCAGCGTAATTAGCTGACGACAACAGCTAGAATGCGCCACTGAGAACAAGCAAGGTGCATTCCAGCAGTGATGGGGACTGGAAAGAGCTTGAAGCCGTTGGTTATCGCATGTGAAAAGACGACAGTACTGATTTCGTCAGAAGCAGGAAATGTCAAGGGTCAACTACAGCAGATAACAAAGGTTGTGTTCAGTGTTCACGATGTTCTTGGCCACTGTATTGGGCCATCCAGTAGCCATATGTTGTATTTCCGCTTCGTCCTCGGTGAGATACGATACATTTGTAAGCACTATATTGAGTTTGGTGATGTAGCAAGCTCTGCATGTAAGTAGGTACTTCAATTAAAGTACGGAGTATACCAACGTATTGGACCCAGAGTCGTACGAGTGAGATATACAGCGAAGCGCGGAGTACACAGTAATATGCTTACATAGTAGGGGCGAGGCGGTGCAAGAAAAAAGTGAGAGACTCAACACCTCTGTGTTCAGTGCAGAGTCCCTCAATTTTTTCTTTCACCGCCTCGAGGGGTAAGCTGCCAACTGGCGAGGAGAAGTCGGAGATGTCGGAGGTGAGGGTATCTCGACCACAGAAATGTTGGGATTGGTGGGGGGTGAAGTATCCCTTCTCGCCCAACTCAGGCATTGTAAGCCGAAAGCGGCAGTTCCCAAGGTTAATAATTGTACATCTTAAGCATATTAAATATGCTTAACCTACTACGTACAGTAGCCGCCGAATTGAGCTCGGTTAACTCGACGAGACGCTTCAAGGTTACAACGACGTGGACGCTAATTGACTTCGGGCACCTGTAAACCACCTAACCCTTCCTATATGTACTGTACAGGATATACCTACATGTTCTTCACGGAGTAAACATAGCTGGTATTCTATGTGGTATGTATGTAGGTAGGTAGATTTGACGGCGAAAGACTGGACGCGAAATAATTACTTTAATTTATCTGATCTGCAGTGCTCCGTAAAGCGGATGAGGAATTAAGTGCTGACTGAAGCATCCGCACTACCTAGTCTAACTCGCATACCCGAGAGATGAACGGCGCAAGAGATTGCTACTACTACCTACTACACTAAGTAAGTACATACATAGTAGTATGGAAGTATGTACATGCAATATCCTAGATGCTTCGGATTGAAGTAGGTAGGTAGGTAGTCTCGGTAGTCACTTAGGTACCATACATACCTATCATGTTGAAAGGTCTCGATGGAAGCTTCTCCAAGGCTCGCCAACGCTGTCATCATCAGCTCGAGGTCTCGATCCGGCGTCTTCTCTGCTGCAGGTTCTGTGCAGGTCTCAGGCTTGCCATGTGCAGCTCGGTACTATCTACCATGGTACGCCAACCGAATTGGGTAGTATCGGACCAGTCTCCTGCATCTCGGTACCCCTCGATTCTGGGGGATGGTGGCAAGGCATGGATGGGCTAATTGGTAACACTACTACATGTACTGTAGAAGGTGCTGATAGTTAGTCGAGTAGTGGTAGGTTTGACAGAGAATGGAGTCAGATAGAATCGGGCAATCGTAGCGAGAGCTGAACATTTCCATAGTGGCAAAGGATGGATGAACTACTTACTACGTAGCAGACAGAATAGTAAGTAGAAAGCAGAAAACAGGTACGATATTCATACAGTGCGTGCTTGTGGGATATCGTCGTTTGGGCACTGTATCTACGTCGAGGCACTAAAGAGCATCCAGGAGCACCTATCTGACTGAAAGATGGCCCAAGTAAGTATTTATCCTGTATTGAGTGTAGCGTGCACTAGGTACTACCTATCGACCTAGGTAGTGTGCATTAGTACTGACTTAGTATACAATACATATATGGGGATTGCCCTTCTTAGCTACTTCTGCAGGGGTTGGAGTTCCCATAAAACCCTTTGGGCCTCGGGGGCCTGCCTCACTACCGCAGCCCAGATGCAGCCCTTGTCCGCTGACCCCTATTCTCTACCGTACTCTATTCTAGCTTGATGCCGCCAAGCTCGATGAGGAAGTATCACATGGAGGCCAGCCAGTCACGAGATTCAAGGTCATTCGTGTAAAGGGCTCTTTACTTATACATTATTATACCTGCTGCTAGGCATCGTTAGTATCAATAGGGGTCTAGTCCCCATGATGGCGCGGTAGTAGTGCTCAGTGCTAGCGTATTAGCACTTAGCGCTGGTGTGAAGATCTTCAATCCGCCTGGATTGGCCTAGGTACTGTACTCGCTACCTAGGTACTGGCTACTGTAGGATCATGGCAAAGAGAGGTGAAGGAATCCTTGAAGAATGCCGCCATGACAATGTAACCCTGTTGCGACAAGTTGTAATATGATGAAGGGAAGAACACACTTCTACTTATGCATACTGTAGGTAGGTAGGTTGACTTGTACTGTAAAGATGATAAAATAACGAGAGAGTTCCAGCCTGATATTAATATTCTGCAGCAATCTACTACGTACTATCTACCACATTACAGGGTGGCCACGAATACAGAAATGTAAATCCCTCCATCAAAAGGCGGAACTCGGATGTTCAGACTGAGGAGTAGATAATTAACAAGAATCAACTACATACATATGTAATCCACCACCACCACCATCGGCTAGCCGATGTAGGGTAGCTTACATAGTACATACATATCGTGGTGACGGCATGTCTGGCTGAGGTACTTAGTAGGTATTCTAGGTATATCCATGCAACCCATTCCTCTTCCTCTGCTCTTCCTATCCTTTCAACTATTGCCACTCTTGTCATCTTCACGCTCATGATCATTCCACTGACCAAATTTCCTGTGACTGTTTGTATCTGGACAAGTTATCTTACTAGATACTTACCCAGGTAGGCAAATGCAGTCACTTTGCCAGTCGACATCTACATTACTCGAGACACTGAGGAGGTAGGTAGGGGATAGCAGGTAGGTAGCTACTTGCCCAGACTACTCAAATCTTCAAATCAGTACAACCTGGGTACAACACGGTACGGTATAGGTACAGTGGCAGTACAGCTACAGCCTTCACCGTACCTACCTACCTACTTGATCTAGCTTTCCCCTCGGCTCTCTCAAATCTATCTACAGTACCTACCTACTTACGGTCAGTAGTACCTACCTACTGCTGCGACCTCCCCCCCGTTCCTTGCATTGCCAGCAGTCCGAACTACCACACGATATCTCTGAACTCCTGCACAACATCGTCGTCGTTGATCATTCGGCTCATCAATCTCTCTTCCATTCACTCACTTGCTCTCTCAATCAATCGGGGAATCACTACTTCATTCATTCATCTCAGCCATCAAGCAGTCCAAATAGTCCAAAAATCGATCAAGCCATCCATTCACCCAGCAACCCAGCAACCCAACAACCATCTATCTCTACCCACTCAGGCCTACATTCCACCACCCCGGTTTACAAAGACTTTTTTTTTTTCCTCGTTCCGACCCGACCTGGTCCTAGACAAACTGATTAATGTTCCTTGCTCTTGCGTCGTATCCGCGCCATCTGCTACAGTTATTAATCGGATTGCATCGCCATCTACTCCAATCTACACTCCTTGCGTGCATCGCAGCAGCTCTGCATACCTACCCTACTGTAGTCACCTAGTCAATTGCCTGAGTGAGCAGTAGACCCATCATCATCATCATCGCCACTTTAATCTGTACCGACGGATGCCATTACTTATCGCCACACACGGCTAGCCGCACGGGTTTGGACTACTTCGTTCGAGCACATAGGGAGACCGCAGTTTCTGAAATATCACCAGGCGTTTCCCGGCTCTGCCTCAGAAGATCATCTGGCCGACCCTCGCGCGAAGCCAAGGTTTGCCACGTCCAGTCCAGCAAAACCACCCACCCGCGCCCTCTAACCGGCTGTTTGACCGCCTACCAAACTACCCAGCAACCACCACAACCGGATAGAGGCACCCGACGCTCCGGCGTGGTTCATTTACACGCCAACGCAACCAGAAACTTGTCCTCCCATAAGGAGCCAATTATTTCTCAAGCAGTCTAGATACCACAGCATATTGACCACCATCCATTTGACCTAACTACCATTCATTCGCCAGCCATTGCTTAAACAGCTCAAGATAGGCTGATAAAACTGCGACACTGGGAACGGCAACGTTGCAACCGAGAAGGAAAGGAAAATACGAGGTCGGAGACACCAAAGCAGGTTTTGCCTACCATGTCCACCATGGAGGGCGATCTACTTGGCCTAGGTAAGAAACCATGCACCAACGTACTATGAAAACCTTCCCAGAAACTGTACAGGATAAGAGCCCCTTTATCTATCATTGCGATAGACGGCCAAGTCTAGGGGCTGCTGAGTGAAAATATGGTGCCGGGTTGTACTCCTAGGGGTTGTACCCAAGCAATCTACGTTTCCACTTAATCGCACCAGCAGTTTGTTTCATTTGTACTGGCACATGTTTCACCATGTGTGGCAGCATCGTCATTCCCGCCTGCAATCAGCCGCCTACTCCCTACTAACACACTGTTTGCTATGCTCATAGGCCAGCCATATAGCCAACATGCTACAAATGGCCCATCTGCCGGCCTGACGCTTAATCTCTCGTCTAACAACCCCTTCCGTAATCGCGCTGCGTCACCCAACAATCTCGCTTCTCCCCCTCCCCGCTCACCTTTTGAGGACCCCCCTCCCCGACCGACTTCGAGGAACCCTTTTCTGGACCCGGACTTTAACCCTCCCGCTTCTCAACTGGTCACATCTCCCGAGAAGATGGCGGAAACCAAGGGCACCCGGTCGCCCACCGCTGAGGAGCTATTTGTTAGTCGATAAAGTTATTTCTAATCGTCGTAGAATGGCTGCTGATACAAAGTCTTATCAGAACTCCCTAGACATAAATGACAGCACATCCAAGAAGCCGCAGCCTAGACCGAGCGGTAAGCGATCTGACACCGATAGACCTTTTCGCGGCCCTCCACGTGGCGAAAATATCCCACCACAAGGGCGCGGCCCCTCTAGCTCTCATCGCCCTACTCGATCGCAGGAAGAGGCGCTCAAGGCACGCAGAATGCAACCCGGCACAAATGGAAGCAGGCAAACAGGTGGATCCCCGCAGCGGAGGCCCGAACCACGGCTCCGGCGCAATAGCGATTCCTCCGTCATGGAGAAGCCCATCACTGATGAGGAAAGACGAATGCGCGAGATGAGGCAGAGGGATAGAGACAGGCGCCACCGTGATGGCAAAAGTCGCCCCAAAAAATTAGATATTATAGACCAGCTTGACGCTACTAGTATCTATGGCACCGGATGTAAGGTCGTATTGTCAAATAAGGTGGTATATGAGCTGACTCGGTTTCCCCATTAGTATTCCATCATGACGGACCTTTCGACGCTTGCAACCCTCACCGAAACAGAAAAGGAAGCCGACGCGCACCGATGCAAGCTTTTGCTAAGGACTCGGCGAACAACACTATCGGAGGCGCGGGACCTCTAAACAAGCGACCTGATCATAAGCTCTTTATGGGACAAGAGCCCCATGATGCGTCAACTATGTATGCAGGTGCTCATTCCAGGCAGAAGAAAGCCCATGAGATGGAGCTTTTCGATCCGAAGCAGCGAGGCGAATACGAATATGGTGAAGAGACACTAGGATTAGGAAGCTCAACGTTTTTGGAAGGAACACCAGCTGCTCGAACCGCTATTGCCCGGAATCAAGAAGAGTCGGCCCAGGAAGCCGCTGAGTCTGGGCTAGGACGAAAGAAGTCGGTGGTATCGCGCTTTAAAAGCATCAAGCGCGGCCCGAGAGACTATGGCGAATCGGGACGAGTCACTAGTCCTGATGGGTATCATGGCCACAGCCCGAGGCCCAGCCTTCCATCAGCAGGTACTGGAGAAAGAAATCCTTTTTTCGCGGATTTCGATAAAGGAGAGGAACAGATCAGCGTCAGGCGCAAAGACAGTGATGCCATGTCACCAACAACTCCTCCCTCAGTTCCAGGCGCCAGCCTCGAGCGACGAGCAACAACCGACGCTACTATGGACGGTCCTGAGGGACAAGCAAAACAGGTAGGCGGTGGTGGTTTCCTCTCCCGGGTGAAGAGCTTGAAGGGCGGTCGACGACAACGACCAGAGCCTCCGGCCAAAGATACTGTTCCTGGCTATAGTCCTGGAACCCCAGCCTGAGTACCATGGAGCACCATGGAATTGTTGACAGAGGAAAATCAAGGTCAGGTTTGACAACTACGGTAGCCAGCCGACCAGAGCACTGATATAGTTCCAAGCTCGTTTTCGGGAGGGTAGAACAGTTCCCTTTAAATGTGTGTGATGCGAGACATCACCTTTCTCCTTGGACAGCCATATTCTCTTAACGTTTTCCGCTAGGGGCTAAAAATGAGCTGGATGATGTCGCGAGGTGCTCTCTCAGAAACATGGGGGAGCGTAAGAGGAGAACCTAAGTTTGATTAACACTCGTTCGCTGCCTCGGCAGAGTTTTCTTCAGGATTTCACATATGTGCTGTATGAGTAAAGGCAGCATGGTATTCAATTGTGAGGCTGTTTATCATGTACTTAGAATCAGAAGATATTCAAAAAAGGCCATTGGCTGCTTCATGACCTTTTTAGAGATCCTTTTAGAAACTGTATCCAAAAACACCTCTAAGGATAGCTTTTAATCTACTCAACGCGGTTAACACATTGTTCCGTCGAACGTGATAATTTCCTTTATTTTTATTCTATTCCTGAAGTCATGTGTATAGCTCGGGTAAACCTCACCTTCATCAACTGTCATGTTGATGAGGGCTTCGCAGCTTGAAACTGTCGCTCAAGCGCTCCACTTTTCTAAGCCCATACTTGATGTCAAAGTACCTTTATTACCCAACTGCAAGATGATGACGGTTTATCCTGCTGCCCAAATTTGATTCTGGACTATCGTAGTATCATTGAAGCTGTCTTTACTCACTGCTCACAAGTGAGGTCCCTCTCATCTCTCATCTCACCTCATATACCACCCTACCAGTAGTCACAGCTGAAAATACCAACATAGGTCTGATATTAAGCTCACCCGGAAGCTTTTTCTCAGCGAGGATGCACTAGACAGCATACTTTCAACCGAATTCTCTTCTTGCCGACACACCCGCCTTAGTATATATATGTGTGCATGGCACTGAGCACACCTCGTCATCGTGCGGCATAATAAGACGCGGACGGGCTTGGCGCCCACGCTGGGCTATGGAGAACGCGGTGCCGAGACACGCGCCTGTATCAGGCGCCACACTCTATGCGCGGGAGATCGGACGGCGGAGGGAACTTCGTTCGAGGGGCGTTGTGTCCACTGGGTGTTCTGAGATCGATGATACGTTGCTCCTTGGAGGTGGGTTTGAGCGTGGATGTGTTGTTGGCGTCAGTGCTGAGGAGGTGGACTTTGGTGTCCTGGTTAGTGCTCTTCTTTCTTGAGGTGTGGTGAATGAGAAGGAAGAGAGTGGAGGGATACAGTGCCTTGTTGTGACTTATCATGGATTGCGAGTGCGGGAAACCGGCGTTTGCGTGGATTCGAGGATCCTTCTGCGCTCTTTCACGAACTATCGTCCTAACTTTGTAGCTCGACTGGCCACTGACGATGATCATAGTTAGGCCTTCAAACCATAGCCAGGGCGCTGGTCTTCGAGGGCCGTGACGCAAGTGTGCCACTGCCTTGTGATGAGAGAAACCAGAGAGCAACTATCATCACAACGCTTCCGGCGACGACTATTCTACCAACTTTGCGAGACATTGTTCGGTATCAGGTACAAGTTAAACTCGGTCCTAGACATACTGGTATCGACGCCGAACTACGGAGGTGTCTAGAAGCTATATCCATCTCGCGCATCTTTGACATTGAGGGATTGTGGGAGGTACTTCGGGAACTTGATGTTACCCAGGACAAGACGAGATCTCCTTGCAATGAAGCTGGTAACGAAGAAGCGATGAGCCCTCATGTTTCCGACGGGAATAGGGAAGAAAAGGGAGTCTCTGAACTCGAAAGCCCTGCAGCAAGCTCTATAAGTGAAAATATTGAAGAGGGAGATTCTGCAGACAAAGGTCTAGAGCAAGCAGATGCGGATTGCAACACTGTTATCCCAACAGAACCTTTGCAAGAACCTCAGACATATTCACCACCAGAACGCATAACAGAACTACCACCCTTACGCATTGGACCCGAGCTTCGACCACCAGTTCGGAAGACCGAAATCCTCGATAGTGAGGATGAGGAACCATTATCATCATCACCATTATCCTCTCCTCCATCTACAGCTGCTCCAGAATCTCCATCACAGTCCGAAGAGCAGCAGCCCCAGCCCCCCGTCGACACAGAGCCTCCATCAAATGCATCGTCCCCAGACCCAGAGCGCGAAGAAATACGGCAGACTCCTGAGTTCTCTAAACCCATACCGACCGAGCCTTCACCACATCCCATACCAGACCTCATCCTCATAACACATTTCTCCGCCCTTCTGACAACCCTCTTCACACAAAGCGACAAACCATCCGCACACACGAACCTGCACCTCCTCTCCTCGCACCTCCGCCACCTGGCGCGCGAAGCAGGAAGTCTGATAATGCTCCTCAACACAACGACCTCGCCTCCCGCCGCTAAATCTACTACTACATCTACCACCACTACTACTACTACTCCAGACATGAATAACAACCCCATACCACCACCGACACACACAAGACCCCTCGACCCCACCCTCCGCTCCATCTTCAACCCGCCGCACGTCCAAAGCGGAGGACCATCATCGTACAGCGCCGCGCGCCGCAATAAACCCGCCTTCGGCGCCACGTTCGCGCAGTTCCTGGATGCGCATCTCTTGTGCGCGAGGATCCCGCGCTCGCGCGACGATGCGGAGATGGTTGTTGCGTTGGGCGAGGGTGGGGAGGGTGCTTGGGTTGTGGAGATGCTTTTGGATGAGGGTTTGTTTTGGGACTGGGGGGGAGAGGGAGAGGGAGAGGGAGTGCCGAGGCGGGTTAATCGCGAGCAGAGGTGGGCTGCTGTTGATGTCAGGGGTCGAGTCGTTGTTGTTAATGCGTTTGCGAGCGCGAGTGTGCGAGGAGCTGGTGGTGTGGATAGAGGGCCGGTGCGGCTTGCTGCTGGGGCCGAGGGTTTGAGGTTGGGGAGGATTACATGATGGTATCTTAGGAGTTAGGGAGGGAGAGAAGAGAATCTATGTGTATTCCCTGCTCGAAAGGCGTGGAGATAACATCGTGGCTTCTCTGGTCATCTGAATTTGAGGTTTGATTCACGTTTTGACGTCGTTGATAATGTGAATACACGCCTTGTCTCGGGTATATTTGAGGGTCTGATGGCTGTGTACCTTCTTATATTGAAGTGTAGCCTCACGGCGGCTCTTCTTTGCATGCGTATGTATACACATGTATATCTGATCTCTTGATACATCCCTCAGATAATGCGCAATAACGCCTCCGCATGCCTCACGTCGCGTTATTCTTGAAGACATAGCAAATCAGCACCTGGTTTTGCAGTTGAGCCCATCGCTCATGCAGATATTGCGTTATTCAAAATTCACGATGATTTATAAGCGAGCGTGCTACGAATAGATAGATGCAGTATTCTCCCCGGCACGAAATCACTCGAGTCTCTCGCTCGAAATGAAAACCATTGATATTCCAGTTAGGAACCTCCCTTTTTATCATAACCTCGTATATCTATTCTCCGAAGAAAGAATAATGCCACAGCTTGTACAGAATGTGCTCATCTCAAACATGCTTTACGTTACTTTAGAAACAACTATGAAACTTATAGTTCACCCCAAACCTGGTCCCCGCCAGCAGGGGAGTTTGTCTCGCCATCCTCATCGACGTAAGGTTGTAGGATGTCGACGAGTTCCTCGACGGAGATCTCGCCGTCTGCCTCGGTCCACGAGGCGCCAGATCCGGGTGTGCGGGGCGGGAACAGCACTGAGCCCATGACGTGGATGACACCGTCCAGGCAGACGCCGTCCTCGACGGCGACCTTGGCGGCGCCGTTGATGGTCATTGTTATGAAGCCGAAGAAACGAGCAATGTCGATGGACAGATGCTTGCCATCGAGCAGCGTGGGGAGGTCGACGTGGAAGTGGCCGTTCTTCTCGCTGCTAGTCGCGCTGACGTCGTCATTGGATGTCGATTGTGCGAAGATGTCTTCGGATTGGCCCTTCTGTCCGTAATATGCGTCTGAGTACAGAGTCTCATTCATTACGATGTGGTACTTCAGCAGAGCGCGTAAGAAGCCGAGGCCTTTCTCGGTGTTGAACAGGAAGGCGTTGGCAGCGGGGCCTAGGCGAGCGAAGGCGTTGTTGGTAGGGGCGAAGATGGTTAGGCCAGTTGTGCGGGGCTCGAAGTGCTTGTGGTCGTCATCCTTGCCGTGTTCATGATGGGAGAACAGCCCGGTCTTCTTCGCTGCCAGCTCAAGCGTAGAGAACTTGGAAGGGAACAGCTGAATTGTTCGTCCCGCGGGCGGCGGTGGTACCAGGATGTTATCTACGCCGTGGGCGACGCCATTCTTGAAGAACTACATAATGGCGATTAGCTAGAGGTACACAGGTCGAGTGGGATAGGGTCTCCCTATAGCGATCGCAGAGTCAACATAAAGAGAGGTGGGCAGTCCATACCTGATCCGCCTTGACAATCTTGCTGAAGAAGTTAAGCTTGAGCCCGAACAAGCTGAGGCTGGCTCTCAATCGTTGGGGACAATCCCCAAGGAACTTGCTCTTAAGGGATGTAGGCAGGGTGTGGGAAGCTAGCACACGGCCGGCGGGATAGACTCCGGACAAGACATGGTATTCGATGACCTTCTCGACGAATTCCTTAGGCGGCTTGTGGCCGTGGTCAGGAATCTTCTCAAATGCCTTATCGAGAGGAATGAAGACCGTTGAATTTGTCTTGGTGCTGTTCAGCAAGTCGACAACATCGGGGAAGTCGTTCACGAGAGCCGCGAACTTCTTGGTGTAATTCGATAAGTTAATCGCTTGGTATAAGGTTAAATTGTATGGGCCGTGGCCACCGTGAAGTCCGGCTATGCCGAAAACGTCTTCGGCCGCATCCGTCTCATAGAAAGTCTCGATCTGATCGAGGAGGTTGTGTGCCCTCTTGTCGATGAAGTCAAAGGCTGCCTCAGGCGCTGAGCGCACAGAGTCCCACCATGCCGGCGCTGCCTTCTCGGCTTTCTCGGCCGGCTTCTCCAAGTCCAAGCCCAATTGCTGAGCGGTCGCGTCGTCAGGGAGGACGATGGCTGTGGCCACGGACGCCGCGACGGGTAGCAGATTGATATATCGCATTATGTTGCTAGTCAAGGTGAACCTAGAAGATTCCTATATCTTGTCAGGCCCAATGTCAATTGTGATATTGACAGGTGAATGATGCGAGAGATATCATTGCCCTTGGATCCGAAGCACTCACTGTATTATTAACCCTTGTCTGAAGGATCAGGCTAGGTAGGTTAGGTGGAAGACGTAAGCCGCCCCTCTCCCGACGCGCGCTGTGAGGTGCAACCTGAGTCGCCAATCGGCTGACGTCACGTCACGTCAACGACAAGGGTTGAGTTCCGATAGATAGCTTTTGCTTAAAGCAATTGAAACAGCAGGAAGAAGATGGAAGGGATTATTTAGATGGCCGAGGCGAAGTCAATCTCTTATAAACTTACCGGAGAATTGTGAATTAAATTACTTACGTTGTCAGTGTACAATGGCTGGATCAACTCAAAGGAGGCTACGCTTGCGTCGCGCCTCTGTGACGTTGGCTGTGTCAACGCAACCTTGCGGGGACGGGTTCTTCAAAACCCCGAAGCAGTGACATTGAAGACCTGAAAGTCCGCCACTTAATGGTATCACTTAGTCCATGTCATTGTGAACTCATTGTTAAGTGCGTTAAGTGCATACGATACTTATTAACGAATATTTGCGTGGTATTATCACGATGCTACTTGGTTAGTCGTTCGGGGCTCAGATTCACCACTGTCATCTCACATGACAAGTTCCTAGAGCTAGTTGAGTCTGATTGTGAGAGCTCAAGTCTCCCAGGTTAAGAAAAAGACGTGCTTTGCAGCTCAACGGACGAAATCTAGGACTTTATAAACCTGATAATAGCAGCCTTTGAGAAATTGGGTAATTTTTTTTTATATTGAAAACAGTGATACTCCTCCAAACTGGAGGGATGAACACATGGCGATGAAAACTCATCGCCAAAGCACATCTCAAGCAGGTATGCTATCTTCAGAGACAAGTCTCTGCATCTTTTGCTTATCATGTCGTCGTTAGTACTAAAAGCGATGGAAGAGTGAATGAAGCCGCAACCTCGGCATCAAACAGACGTAAGATGAAAGTCATGATGAATCACATTCTCCCGATTAATACGTACTCCCTTCTCACAAGCTGTTAGACCATATCTGAGCCGTTCTGTTTGAACTTTATCGGACCGGGCTCATTGTCGAACTGTGCGTAGACCTGCGTAGCGTCAAAGCTGTATTTCTTAGCAAACTCTTTGAAACGCCACACCGTCACCACCGTACTGAGGAGCGTGATGCCCATCCATATAGCTATATATGGAGAGACTACCTGACTGCTTTCGTCTGGGATCCAGTTGAAGAACCCCATTGAGAACAAGGTCTATGCCAAGTTAGTCCGGGTAAAGGACGTGAGGTACAGTAGGCATACTGCGAAGAATGTCCCCGGCAGAAATATCATCCCAAGAAACGAGATGTAGCGCATATGGCTACTGTCTTTCTTGGACTCAACCGCGATCGAGATCGTGGCCCACGCGTCCTTTCGCGTGAGGTAGTTTGATTCCTGAAGTAGTTAGATGATGTCACGGTAGAAGATGCGTATCGTCGGCTGTAACTAGAGTTGGGGGGACTTACTGTTTGAGTTGCCAGCGACATTGCAACAAGAAGACTGCTGGTGCGCCTGACTATACTGCTAATTTCGACAATCATGTCATGAAGTCTCGCTTGAATGCTATCATGGGAATGTCTGTGGCTTATGTTATCTGGGTGGTAAGAGTCAGGTCCCAAGAGATCATAGCCTAGAATCTCATTCTCCAGGGGCTTTTTGGAAGTCGCAAGCATCGAGTTAAGTTCCGTCTTCAGGCTCTCCAGTCCATTTTCCAGTGAGCTGACGTCGACCCATAGATTCACAGCATCGCATTCGCGTTGTGTGATGTTCCGGTTGGACGACTCCTTCTCTGAGTTGCTTGACTGTTCTGACTCTCTAGAACCGTCTTGTCCAAGCCTAGTTTCCATCTCGATGATTCGCTTCCGGAGGTTCCCGCCTTTGGTATCTAGTTTGCTGACTATCCGGCGTCGCTCACGATCCGCGTATATCATTGGGAGAAAGAGGGGGTCAAAGGCAGAGCCTTCGGCGTATTCGAGCCAACTGGTAATATACCCCCGGGCTTCTTCTGTGCAGCCGTAGAAGACAGCAAATGTCATTTTCTTCTGAGGGAAATGTGTTAGGGATAGGACGATGTCGTCACCTGGAGCGAGTGACTCTGTATCTGATTTGCAGTTGTATACTATAGAGAAGTGGTCAACAATTCATTTCACGTCTTGTCATTGTCTCTAATTTTCACGGGGTATTAGGGAGGAAATTATGGCTTACCAACAGCTGGCCCCCATTCTGGCTTCGAATCCCATGGAGCCACTACACGATTGGTAAAGACCGCCGTAGACTTCCTACGGATTGCATGAGCGACGGACCTATGTTGGTATAACCGTTCGCAAGCTTCGCTGAAAGTCTCCCTTCCATACGGGAGAGAGGTAGCTCTTGTGTTGCTTGCCTCGAGTCTCTGGTGCATCACAAGCACTACGGATGGTTTGTCCAGGCATGATGGTAGCTATTCGGCGTCAATGATTAAACTCAACATAACTTCCTTAGCACTAAGATTGGTTACTCACCTCTTCAAGCCATTTTAAGTATTTTTGTTCCGAGGTATGCTCTTTCACCTCAGGATCTTGTACTTCGTCCTGAAAGTTGACTATCGTTAGTAGATGAATCGTAAAAAGGCGGAGGTTGTTTTCTAAACTTACAGAGCTCTGTTGTAACAAAATTGTCTGTATCAGACATGGCGAGCCCGACTTGAAGTGAAACTCTTCTAGATCTGCGGGAAGCATCTGCTTGTCTTGGCTAATCCACTCCATTTTGTATGGCGTACACTGTCTGAGGCTGTAGGATTGTGATGGAGAGATGGCTGAAATCCGAGGTGACACTGTAAATCATTGTAGACAGAAAACAGCCCCCAGTGCGCTACATGCGGAGAGTGTTATAGTCCTCGACCCTCCCTTGTTACGTTGCCCACTCGAAGCAAACAAAAACAATACCTCGATGGTCGGATCCGACAGACGAAGCAGGCTATCAACAACTGCACTTATGACTGGCCACAAGTGTTCGAGTCGCCAGCGTTGTGGCACTATGCATCATGCAAACTACCTTGGTAGATCCCTGCTACTTCAACCAGCTCGGGCGCATCCCTTCATTCATAGGTGTGCCCTTCGGAGCCCCGATGGCTGGTAATCTCACATGATGCAGTTGTACTCGGCATCTGAAGGTAGGCAGACTCGCTGGCTGAAACTTGTCGTGCCACATGCATTCAGACTTGTGTGCCTATGCCTCCTTCACCGAAAATATCTGAATGAGGCGCTTGTGTGCATCATTTGGCACACTTTAAGCTATGACACAAGCATTCACTCTGAAGAAAGATAAATAACACGCACATATACTTCTTTGAATCTTGTCGATGTCTTCTCCAATGCTCTCAACCGTCAAAGAACAGCTTATCAAAGTAGTGGATCTTATCCCAGGATTACGCTCTCGCCGCAACGCAATGGCCGAAACACCTCCATTTAAGGCTACAGACACTTTCGCGCACCGGTATCAAGACGAGGAAGTGCTCCGCAAAGCCCTAGTCGAAATATGTGGCTTTACGCTTGCAGAAATCAGAATTCAGGTGAATCATTTCGTTGCTGTTATGGAACAAGCCATATATTTAGTCCTTGCGCTGATCGACCGTTAGATAACCGAGCGGAATGGATTCGATGTCCAACTCCCTCGGCCTCTTGATGAGGTACGTTGAACGCCGTAATGAAAGGTCGCAGCTCATTTTCTCCTTAGAAAGAAAAGGCACAAATCTATCAAAGGTTTGAGGCCGCCAAGGCTGAGAAACGTCGTGCACCGGAGAAACAGAAGAAGAATGGCAAGACTGGAGATTCAAAGGAAGACAAGAAAGATGCCGATGGAGAGTCAGTGAAGGAGAAGAAAGATGGACAAGATGCAAAGTAGAGTCATTTGTGTAGAATTGATGTTAGATCTCGAGCATCAAGCCTAAGCCATTATTTAGGGTCATAATTGAGGCAAGGGAAGTGGAAATCGATTTTAGGACTAAACTCTATTCTACTTTCTAACATTGGTGTCTGCGAAGACGTTGGTATAGCCGTAATACTAGCACCGAAACCAGCAAGCCCGTACAAGATTGGGTAGGAAATGGGAATATCTTTCACAATTAACCTTAGTTTTACTCTCCGTTTGTCAAGTTACGGAGGAACTTCTCAACGTCACTACTATCCGCGCGCGTACCTGGGTCGACGACGAGCATCTTCGCCTCGATGAAATCGAGGAACTTCCGAATCGCTGTGTCACACATAGCATGACGTCGTATCTTATTGATATGCTGACTCTATTGTTAGATTTTCTTCCGAGTTCAGGAGCATCCATGCTTACCGTTGTGACCGAGTCTTTGACTTTACAGCTAATGCTAATATTGCCTCGAATGATACGAAGCGTGCATTCATCCGTCATCTTCCTTTTTGTAGTGGTCTCCTTGATTTGATTTTCGATCCGAATTTTGAATCCTGAAACATCATACCAGGGAGATCTTTTGATACATGTCTTGAAAAATGTATCCTCTAGGGTCTCTCCTCGTTGATCTGTCGTCGGGAGTGGGTCATGGCGTTCCTCTACACGACTTTTTCCGAATTCTTCTTTCTCTGACCCGCCGAGGACTGCCCATGTGACGAATTCGAGATAAATACAGGCCAGGCACCAGACGTCGTAATTAAGACTGATATTATCTTCAACATCATATTCGGGAGGTCTGTAGGTCTTGGTATGTGGCACCTCCCGCACCTTGACTAAGGAATTCTCATCCACTTTGCGTGTGACCCCGAAATCCGCGAGCTTTAGGTAGAATGAGCCTGTTGGTGTACCATAGCAGAGTATATTCCGAGGCTTGACATCTGCGTGTAGCTGAGGAGGTAGGATATGCTGTGCCCCATGCTCAAGAACGGTACTGGGCTTGTGTGTCGCGGCGAGGCTCTCTGCAATCCCCAGACATTCAGTCAGCAGCCATTGCGAAGAGTACCACGTAGCAGGCTTGCTTCCCGGGGAATTATTAGTAGAATAAGTCTCCCATAGCTCCTCCAGGTTGCCACCGCTTGCAAATGGAAGGACAAAATGGAACTTCTGTCGGTACTTCAAGGCGGCATGGATGGGGACTATTCGGTCATGCCGTGGAACTTGTTGGTTTGCCTGGAGCTCTTCTTGGAAGTCTACGCTGGACAAGGCGGAATCCTTGAAAGTCTTCAAGGCAAAGTCGTACTCTTCTCCCTATGGTTGCTGGCTGTCAGCTTTGATCTCTGAAGCCGCTAATGAATGCAGATTGGCTTACCAGATTATGGTGGCTGGGATCAATCCTAACATGCCTGACGACCGATAGCTCTCCGTCAACCGGACTTATTCTTTCATCGATGTGTGAAAACGGAAGAGCAGCTTCCCTGTCAAGCTCTGTGTAGCGCTGACGATATGGATCGATCTTTCTTAGATAATGACATCTTAGTTGTGATTGTGCATGTCTGAAGAGTTGCTTCTCTTTCTCGGTGAGCTCATTGAATAACTGCGGGAGTAGACTTTCATCCGAAATCGGCAAGCTACTGTCACATAATCCCGGCTTAGGTTGATTGTAGCAATGGATGATACCGCCCTCTTTCTCAATGTGCATCAGTGAGGCAAGTATGATTCTACTTCCTGTACAAAGCCCGTTTCCACAGTGGCATGTTCTCCCCTCATCTGGGCTGATGTAGTCTGCTATCTCATTCGGACTCGGTGGGCCATCCAATAGTGTCTCTAGATGCTCTGCGACCCTTCGACTATCGAGGATCTGCAGCAGAGTTTTCCGCGGTATGAACCGACCACTGCTTGTGGAGAAATTGGGGAACCATTGTTGCAGCGGTTGAGCCAGGCTCTCAGACAAGTCAGCCACTGATGCATTTTGCAACTCTCGCAAAAGCCGGTCTCGCGATAGGATACGTAGGATACGGCGCTGGCAACGGGGAGACAGGTTACTACAGGTCGGGTTTTGACTGCACCCTGTATCATGCAGGCTGATATTAGAAGAGTGTTCGTGGGCGTCCATCTGTGATGATGTTTGGTCAGGAAGTCCGGTGCTATGCATGGCGTCGACTGTAAGTGATCAAGAATCAAGCTGCGTACAAGGGCACACTTAATGCGCTTGCAAAATGAAGATGTTGCCCGAGAATCAGCACTTCAGCTATGCAGCAAGCCAACGTGCAGATCAGTTACGCCAGCCTCACAACGTTCTCGCAATAATAGGGGACATGATATATATTAACTACGAAGAAGTCTTGTTATTTCTAGACGGTTCTAGGCACCTACCCATCACGGAGCCGAATTACAGCTCAGTCTGTAATTCCTATTCTTGGATGATTCCGCCCATTTCGTATCCCACATTTGCCACATGTGTTGAAACGAGGCTGTGATGCTGACACCCGACGCCCAGTGTCTTACCTATCTACTTCGTACTCATAGTTAGATAGCTGGCGGCCTGTGGCTCCTCAGCAGTCAGCAAACCCCCACGCGCAGGCATCACTCCTGATATTAGAACAACTGCCTTAACACCAAGTATATAGCCAGTTTATACCATTTTCCCACAAATTGACGCCTCTCCTGATGACAGCAGATATGCGTCTGGGCTTGTACGGAACAGCCTGCGTCATGTGCATCACACATCATCCAATTATGAGACTGCCCGCACTGAATGCAACACATGCACATACTGTACACACGCTCACGAACAGAGGGACACACACACACACACACATAGACGCCCAGTGGAAAGAGAGATAAGCTGTGGTGTAAGTAACGAATTTCTACGGCAAAAATTGTGAGAAGATTCGTGCTTGTACTTGGTAGCAATACACTCCTTGTTATTGTGTCTCCTATATATGGCCTCATTCTACTGTAAATGATCATTTATCTACATTTTTGATTCCGCGCGTCCAAGGATAAGATCATCACCAGTGTTACATACATTTGAGCAACAAGGCTGGTGAAGTCATGACGTTCGACGTCATTAACAGCAAATACCGAACGGCCTGACGGCATGCTTAGTATAGGATAGATAGGTATTATTTGTGGAAGATAGTAGATGTCATGCAGTCGCCCGACGAATAGCACACCCTCACGGAACTCGTCAAGAGCACCAAACCTCTTGAGTTAGATATAGGGATGCGATCGCTCCCTTCTAGTTGCTTGTGTTTATGTTCGTCAACTGTTTGTTGTCTCAAAAACATCACTCCCTTCTCCCTTGCGGGCAATCGAGATGCAAACACGGTCCAACGTAGCAAACTTATGTAGAACCTCCTTACTAGATAAATAGGACAGAGCTTTGGATTCATTCAAGATGGACACGATGAAGACCATCTCCGCTTTCTCCAGATACTTGCTGTTTTGGGACCACCATCACCACCACCGCTACTCCAAAACCTACGAGAACAGTCGTCCCTCGCATACTGGATTTGATTCGATGGATTCAAACGCCTCGACGCGCCCCGCTTATCTGGATAAGCCTGCGCAGCTGATTTACGCTCACAACGTGAGCGATAAGAAACTAATCAATTTGCTGAACTTCAAGTTTGGGAGTAGTTACCGGCTAGAGGTAGGCAGAATCTCACCCGGCGTTGCAATGATAGAAATGCTAAATTGGTATTTTATCTTCCTAGACAATATCGGATATCTATCACTTGTACGCGGATTCCAGGCTCACCGAGGCAGAAATCATGTCCTGTATGTATAGTACGGGAGCAGCACAGCAGTAATGAGGGATTGAGGCGTTCCGATTCTTTCCGTGTGCTACGGCTGTGCCCAGGAGCTATTTTATGAGCGGTGGCTGTCATGTCGGCGACAACTCTGGGATTGATGGGGTGTCCGGGCGGTGTTGGGAATGCTGTGCACGGGGAGCAATCATATTTCCTCTTGAAATGACACGTCTTGGTCATTTGTGTAGCGGGAGCTGAGCAGATTTTGCGCTGGTCGCCTGAGCTACTAGAACATCGTACGTGCTTTGCGTTGCGAACACGTAACGTTGACCTTCGCACTACGCGATCGGGAGAGATAGTTCAGCAAATATATCGGCTGACGCATTTTGAGCTCTTGTTCATGTCCGGTCTCAGAGTCCTCACTGTCTCGGCGTTGACAGTCTTCGATATAGTACTGAGCGCTGACGCTTACTGTCTCAGTAGCCTAAGCGGGTTCGTGTGTTGGTCACCGTTTCAACTTGTAAGACATGATGCGAATGATCGATGCGCTAAGCACTGCCCACCGTATGTGAGAGAACTATTGAATTAATTAATGAGGACGATTGCTTCAATTGAACCTTTTCACCCAAGAATAAGACCAATTGTCTGATAGGACGTGAACCGCGCCGAGCCAATGCACAATCCTTCATCCTTGTCAGGTAACTTTTGCCGATCAGGGGGGCTTAAACTTGCCTTTTTAAACCGCATCCTAAGCCCACAAAATCGAGCTTGCTCGCGGTAGCTATGGCACGACTGACTGATGAGGAACACTATTAACCACCTTATCTAAACGATGCTGCTAAGAATAGGACAGTGCAGCATGCTTAATGATGCGGTGCATCGTCCCTAGAAAGAGTGGTTTGATAGCAAACAATTATACATTCGTATGATTGTAAGCAGATAACTCGGCACCGTCTAAGATCTCAAGAATGAAGGGTTACGGCGTAAATGTATGTTTAGCGGCAGCATGAACATCGAGCACAACGCAGTCCGTAGAAGTCATCGAGAAGACGGCGCGGGTTTGATGTTGCCATATGGTCACCCTGACGTCGTGCTCGGCCGTCAGTGCTCGGCCGTGAGAATTCGCTCTATGGGCTTGATACATGTCATTCATACTATGAGAAGGTTTAAGGTATTACAAGTATGAAGGATGAAATAATGTATATAGAAGCCGTAGGAGAGACATTAACACGTTAGGAAGACACGTTCTCGAACTCCAAGAATAACACTACAATGCCCAATAAACCGCCACTCGAACTTTCTGGACGCTGTTATTCCATCCGGGGAATCTCGCACGCCCCCAAACGGTTACCATATCCCCGAGCTTCAGACTTCTGAGGAACCTCCCATCTCCAGTAGCAGCACCGCGACCATTTTCCTCGAGTTCTTTGCCCGCGCTAGACTCGGGATCAATGTCATCTGTCCATGACCACTCAATGCGGTGGTGTTGCCATTCATGCTCTGCAACACGATTACATTGAATCTTATGGTCAGCTATAGGGTGAAGCTGATGATCATACTCGGATTGATTCTCTTTTAGAGACGGCCATATCGGGCGTATGGCGCCTGTTGTTGGGACCTTCCTAGCACTATCCGAAGCTTTATCTTCGGACTTTTCGGTATCCTCATCTGAATCTAATCACAGTGTAAGCGAGCGATACTGGGTGAAGGTCATGCATGACATACCCCTGTGTGACTTATCGAAACGGTCAATGCCAGCATCAAACCACGTCCAAGAGGACTTGAAGGTGCCATGGGTGTCGACATCATGACTCCATCCTTGATCCCGACTAACGATATCAAACACGATCTTCCGACACGGTTGATCTAGTGTCGATGGAGGTCCCTCGACAAAGCGCTCAAGCTCTTCTCGGGGGTATTCTTCGCCCAGTTTGCGTGCGGGAGCCGCCTTTAGCCAGCGTTCTTTATCGTCCGAATGCCACGTAGAAAGCCCTAGCGGTTCAGTTCGTAGCTGAGATCTTGAGTTAGTATAGACAGTAGCAGCATCATTATGGTAGCCTTGTCTGGCATCTAGGGACTGACAAGAAATTGATTTTCATCATAACGGCCGCCGTGGACACTAAATTGTTTATTAGAGGTTGCCGAGTAGTCGATACTGGCCGCCGAGCATGCCCAATACTCAGCAAAATCCATAATAATGTCAATCAGCTCAGGCGGGAAGTTGGCGGTCTTCGCAAGAATCTCTTTGACTTCAGCACATTGTTTTGGCGTCGGCTCATGGGAGTTCTTCAGTTCGGGCGGCGGCTGAGGCGATGGGTTCCTCAAGGGGAGTCTCCGGAAAGGGATCCCCGCTCTGCCTCCACGGTTAATCATAGTGGGCGATTAACAAAAGCCAATTGTGAGTATGTTGATGCTGATTAGGGTGAATAGAACTGGAGATGGAATTAGAGCCTTAGCATATGCGATTGATGTATCAAATTCAGGGAAGGATGGAAATTAGGTACACCTGACTTATAAAAGAAACTGGTTGGTTGGTTACCTAGATAAGTTATGATACCAATATTACTACCTCTGGTTCTGCTCTGGTGCCTAGAAGCCCCTCCTCATTCCTGGATCTTGGTAGGCGCGGAAGAAGCCGATGACAAGGGGTTTCACTACTTAGGTATGATGACGGTCTACACTCCCTATTCTACTATTCTCTTACAGAACAGAGGGAAGGACAGAACCTTATGATGCTATTGTGGCTTGATCAGTCAAAGAAGGGTTGAGGCTGTGACAAGAGCCGGCCAGTACCAGCATCATAAGTATGCTTGTGAAAGTGACGTCATTGTCAGGTTCAAGATGGCCCAACAAGTACTAGCGCCAAAGGTGCCCTCACCATCTTGGCAATCACGTCCGATAAGAACGATAAGACCAAAAAGAACCACAAAGTGATACCTCGGTACCCAGGTAACATGTACTTGCCATCTTCTCCACAAAGCCCACAAGGCTTGCTAGAGCTTCCTTGCTGACCAATCCAGGCTGTGGTATAAGAGTCATCTCGGTGAGTTGTGCATTTGCATCGCAGACTTGCGGCTCAACAATCTTCAATCTTGTCTGCATCATGAAGGCTCAAAGGTATGGGATCGCAGCCCTTCGCCGGGCCTCGGCCTCTTTGCCATCACCGGCACCTAAGATTGCCTCACCTTGGGTCCTGGCAAGGCAAACACCACCGGCTGGCTCATTCGGCAACTCAAACTCAAGCCATGGGGCAAGACGGTTGTACTCACAGTCTCCTAACGCGGCTCAGAGCGAGGCTTCAAATCCCGCAATGGCGTTTCCTTGCCTCGATGCTCTGGAGACAAGGTCTGCAACTCTAGAGGCAAGGTCACTGTCGAGCGGGCCGGAACCCGCCTACACCGTTGGCGATGTTGAAGTCTTTCGCTATGAAGAACCGTTCCTACTTGACTGGGGTGGTGTTCTTCCTAGGTTCGAAATAGCCTACGAAACTTGGGGGCAGATGAACTCTGACAAGTCGAACGTCATTCTTCTACACACAGGTCTGTCTGCTTCTTCTCATGCTCACTCCACCGAAGACAACCCACAGCCTGGATGGTGGGAGAAGTTCATAGGCCCCGGAAAATGCTTGGATACTAATAAGTACTTCATCATTTGCACCAATGTTATTGGGGGTTGTTTTGGATCCACTGGTCCGAGTGACATTGACCCAGCAGATGGCCAGAGATACGCAACTCGGTTCCCCATTGTCACTATCGAAGATATGGTTAGGGCCCAGTTCAAACTTCTGGAAGGCCTGGGTGTAGAGAAGTTATATGCCAGCGTGGGTTCCAGCATGGGAGGCATGCAGTCTTTAGCGGCGGGCGTGCTGTTTCCTCAAAAGGTTGGCCGTATCGTCTCGATCAGTGGCTGTGCACGGAGCCATCCGTATAGTATTGCTATGCGCCATACGCAACGACAAGTCTTGATGATGGATCCCAATTGGAATCGCGGGTTTTATTACGGAAAGATCCCGCCACATGCTGGGATGAAGCTGGCAAGAGAGATCGCCACTGTCACTTATCGCTCCGGCCCCGAGTGGGAACAGCGATTTGGCCGGAGACGAGCGGATTCCACCAAGCCACCAGCCTTGTGCCCCGACTTTCTCATCGAGACATACTTGGATCACGCTGGCGAGAAGTTCTGTCTGACATATGACCCTAATAGCCTTCTCTATATCAGCAAGGCGATGGACCTCTTCGATCTCGGCCTTACTAATCAAGAAAACGCTACTCTGAGAAGACAGTCAGGGTCGTTGACAGGGATAAATAATGCTTCGTGTAGTCTCACGCTGCCAGATGTGCCTTACGCCGAACGAACAGATACCGAAACACCATTGGATGAGACCGAGATATCCGTTCCAGCTGATTCTCGACCGCCACAGGATCTCATTGCTGGGCTAGCTGCGCTTCGAGACATTCCTACGCTGGTCATGGGAGTTGCTAGCGATATTCTTTTCCCCGCCTGGCAACAGCGTGAGGTTGCCAACGCACTTCGACTCGCGGGCAATAGGAACGTCACCCATGTGGAGTTAAGTGAGGAGCAAAGCATGTTTGGACACGACACTTTCCTTCTTGATCTTCAGAATGTTGGTGGAAATGTCAAGAATTTTCTCGGATAGAAAAGCGAAATGTTGGCGGCATCTGTTATTGGCCGGTAACCACGACTGCAGCGCAACTGTCTGGTCAGCGGTAGCTCAGGATGATGATTTACTGAGCCTTGATTACTGGTAGATAATCCTCACTGCAACTTCCTGTTGTAGCAAGCGCAAACCTTTCGCATGGATGTAGTGATAGTGTTCGGTCATGTCAGCTGCCAGTTTACCTATTATCTGAACTCGTTACCCCTTTTCGACTTCGACCCAAGTTGTGGTGTTCACTCAGCTCGGACATGGTGGGGAGGTGCGCGATATATGGCTATACCCCATATAGCAATCTTGCGAAGGGCTTATAGTGATAATTGTACTCATCTACCTCGGGCCCTTGGATCTGCCCCTCCCCCTCCACGGGTCAAGTCGACGGATCAAGTCAAACGGAGCCCCGGCCCCACGCTGGAAGTACGAAGGAGGCATCAGGTGTCAACCTTTAAACTCTCGGACCCCTCGCCTCCTAGGTATTAGGGGCTTGAGTATCTGTATCATTGTACCCGTCTATTGGTTATCAGTTACCGGCTACCAGTCACTAGTTTCCAGCTCGACAGCGCCTTCCGATTTGATCTGTTCAGAAGGAGATTGGGAAGCCACCGGTGGCGCCTTGGCAAGGAAGAGAAAGGGCAACCTTTGTTGACAGAACACTGTTTGCATTCTACTTCCAGACCGTGGGTAAATTGCTTACCAAGCACTTTGCACGACCCGTCCCGTATTGTACTGGCCACTTACTGAGGTACATTTAGCTTTCTACCTACGTCGTTATCTTCTCTTACCTACCAGAGCCACTGGAAGCTACCTAGCTAGCTCACTCCTTCTGCGTCGACTTTGAGTTCGGGTTAGTCAGCAGTTTCCTCCGGCCACTTACCTACATCACACGCTCCCTCATCCAATCGGAGCGCGTTCCACCTTACGGCTTGAAGGCATTCGGACTTTGTGTGCTACCTTTCATCTACCTAGGTATTATCCCCTAATGCCCAGATTCACACTACTCGCCGAAGTACACATTCTGCTCATCGTGGTCATCATCATCTCCCTCATCGTTTGGAAATAATCTTGATCTCTTTCCACTGCAGACTTAGCAAGTCTAGCACACTTCCCCTCCCCCAAACACCACTCTAGACCCTTCATAGGGCCAGTACAAGAGTCGCTCCAACCTCTCCGTCGTACCTTCACACTGCTGGTTAGCTTGGTATGTAGTGCATCAGTAACCGGCTGTAATTTTATCCCTACCGCATCATCATCGCCCCAAGATCTAGGCAGACTACAAGCAACATGGATATTGCTACAACAGATCCTATCGTTAAGATAGAGCCCACGGATTCTGAGATGGAAGGCAGCACAGCATACAATGCCCTGGTCAAGGCTGAACCCGATCTCTTTGTTTCTGCAACCGATACCACCACCAAGTCTGGACTTAGCACGCCCGAGACAAAGAACAATGTCGTCATAAAGCGCGAGAGTGAAGACTCTCTGACCGAAAGCATTACAGTACCAACAGCTTTCATCAAAATGGAAACCCAAAAGACTGCTCGGGTTCTCAACAGTAAGTAAACCTTGCTATCATTTGTTCTTCGAACTGAAGCTAATGTATATTATGGTAGTGGGTGTGGGTGGTAATGAGGCACAGAGACTGGGTCGAATGAAAATCCAGGGACGAAACATTGTGATCTTATGCAATAAGAGTCGTGATAGTGCCGACCCTAATAGCGATAAGGAGCTGATGGATCGTTTTGCTGATGCCCGCTTATACCTTGATTGGTTGGACACTAACGTGGACATGACACCCCGAATCAATTCCACAACGGGAGTCGATTTAGTTCTTAAAAGGATTATCAAGCCTGAGAACAAGGTCCCTGAGGAACTTGTGAATAAGGCTAAAGAACTTTTAAATAAGTATGAAGCCGACAACTGGGGACAAGACGTTGTAACCGAAGATCCAATTGGAGGCTCGGACGAAAGTTCGAACGGAGGCCCCAATGGACAAATTGCTTCCGCTACCCAGCTAACCATCGGTGTGATTCAAGTCCCGGCTGATAATGATCCTATCTTTGGTCTTAACGGCATTATGTATGGTATCGTCACCGACAGAACTGGCAAGGGAACGGTTTACCGCATTAGAGCCGATCTGCCACGAAAGTCGCCCAAAGTGTATGGTGATAATGGCATTCCTCTAGGCTCCTGGTACCCTTTCCAGATATGTGCTCTTTTCTGGGGTGCACACGGTGCGAGAATGGGCGGCATCGCTGGTAGTGTGGCCACGGGTGCTTGGTCAATTGTAGTAGCTGGAACCTATGAAGATCTTGACACCGACGACGGCAATACGCTATACTATTCGGGCTCCAACAGCCATGACAACACGAACCCAAGACAAGCAGCTACGCCCAGCCAAGGCACCAAGGCGCTGCATGCGTCCTACAGAACTCGGAACCCAGTTCGGGTTCTTCGCTCTGGGGGTTCGTTCAACTCCCGCCATCAAAATCCGCACCTACCATCCTGTGGTTTACGCTACGATGGCTTATATCGTGTTGTAGGTTATCGACAGCGACTTAACAAGAAGGGTGGCCTGTATGACCAGTTCAAACTTGAGCGCCTTGAGGGTCAGACTCCTCTTAGTGAGTTGGAGCGTAACTTCCCTACTACTGAGCAGTAAGTACCAGAAATTCCCTTTTTGCCACTTGCTACATGATCTGTAAACCTCGAGCCTAATTTAACTATCCCAGGATATTCGCTCGTGATCGACTGCAGACATCAAGCTAAGGAGGGAGTGTAATAAAAATGGGGTAGTGAAATGACAAAGTTCAAGATTCAGGTATCAGTGGACTCAAAAGATTAGGCATGTTGTTTCTGTATTTGAAAAATCTTGCGCTCTGAGCGGCGCGCTCGAAATCACGTTAAACGTGGAATAGTACTGGATTGAGTCCTGGATGGAAGGACAAGTAGATATCCATAGTAGCTAGTTCGGATGAATGATAAAACAATCAACCTTGAAGCCTTTTCACACGCTCTATGTGCATTAATGCCGTTAGCTACATTACGTAAATGTTGAGATGTTACTTCAACAGCGTAGAGAAAGCCACGACCAGACGATATTTACACAGATCGGTGATAACGGGGAGAAGTCCGCTCGGAGGTAGAGTGGCAACCAACACCGGACATATAACTTACCAAACTGGGAAAAATCAGCTAATTCCCTGTCATGTTCAGATGCATTGGAGGGAAGACATTACTTGACTCGGAAGCATCAGATCAGCTCCAGGTTATTTCCAGTCAAGCTGGATGTGTTAGCACGAATATATTCACGGCATATTACGTGACGCCGGCTAGTCCGGCACCGATTCTTTCCCTTATCTCCTGCCATGAAATACCGAATGGCGACGATGGCCGAAGGATGATGATGATATTGATGATGAGGAAAGAGAGTAGAGAGAAGAGGGTAGAGCGAGTGGGTATGATGGCGATGGCGATGGTGATTGTGGAGTATAAATATGGGATGTTCGCCCTCGATGATGAGATGGAAGAGTTCATCAGTATCACGGCATACACTCATATACTCGAAGACTACGCATTCCAGAGATTTCAGTGATTAAATCATACCTGGATATAATTCTTTGCACATATATACATCAGACAGGTTCATTCTACGAAATAACTACGAATCTGAAAAAAAAAAATAAAAAAAACAAAAAAAAAAAAACTAGCAGCCATGGCCAAATACAACAAGCTCGCAGGGAAACACATCGTCGTGATCGGCGGAACGCGCGGAATAGGCCGCGGCATCGTCGAGGCCTCGCTCGAATCGGGCGCGCGGGTGACGCTCGCCGGCTCATCGCAGACAAGCGCAGACACAGCGGTGAAATCCATCAAAGCGGAGTACCACAACACCAACAACACGACGGGACAGCATCTCCTCGGTCTAAGCTGCGATCTCTCCGCCCAGGATTCCACGGAATCAGCCCTCGAGACCCTCCTCGCAACCGCAGCGGCTCGAAACGGAGAAGTCGACCACGTGGTCTACACGGCGGCAGACAGCCTCTCGCTGGGCGATCTGCAGGCCGTCACGCCCGCGACCGCGCTGAAGGCGGCGCACATGCGGTTCCTTGTCCCTGTGCTCGTGGGGAAGGTCGTAGAGCGCTATTTCTCACGCGCGGAGATGAAGGGACGTGGTGATAAGAGCCTTGTCCTTACGACGGGGGCGATTGCTTCGAAGCCTGCGCCTGGATGGAGCGTGATTGCGTATTTCGCGGGGGGGATTAATGCTTGTTAGTAGGACCTTGTTCATTCATTCATTCCATTTTCATTTCATTTCATTTTATCTTCCTCTTTTCTCTCCTTATGCTTCTCGCTTTTTCTTCTTTTTTTTTTTTCAATTGACTGAACTGACTGACTGACTGACTTGCGTCCCCAGTGACGCGCAATCTCGCCCTCGACCTCGCCCCCGTGCGCGTCAACGCCGTCGAGCCAGGCATCGTCAACACGGGGTTGTGGGACCCAGGGTACGCGAGCCTCGAGGAGCGCGAAGCCGGCCTCATGAAGATGACGGCGGGCCAGCCTGTCGGTAGGCCGGGGGCCGTCGAGGAGGTCGTCGAGGCGTATATGTATCTCTTGCGCGACGCCAATGCGACTGGCGAGACGGTGCGGACGAGGGGTGGCCAGCATCTGGTTTAGCTTGGTTAGTTTCTAATCGATCTGCGAAATATATTGAATGGAGCGGATTGAGGAGGAATTGATTGACTATAGATTAGATTGGTTTAGCTACGTGAAGGAATTCATGGTTATCTAGAGTGAATATAAATGTTCAGCTTACCAAGTTGTTTGCTTGCCTGCTAGCTTATGTCTCGTGGGATCAATGCCTAAAGACATGACTCTCGCCTTTGTCTGCCTACCTACACATGGTGAATATCCCAAGTAATATCAGGCAAATATCTATCCACCTGTATATGCTTTAATAGCAAAACGCACATAAGCAACCTACCAAAGAGAAAAATGAGTCAAGATGACAAGCAACTTATTCCACGCCGCGCCAGTCTCAATGTTCATATCTGCCTTAGGACTGACGCCATTTTCCTATTGATATAGTCCTAGACCAATATTTCCTCAGCGTCAACATTCAGGAAAAGTGACAAAAAATAAACAAAAGAACATGTGCAGACAACTTCAGGATTTGACTACAACTCAATGACAAGAGTGGGACTTGAACCCACGCGGATTGCTCCATGAGGAAACTGTGCTAAGGTGCTCCTTAACCTCACGCCATAACCAACTCGGCCATCTTGCCTTTGGAATTCGATGGAGGTGAGGAGGGCTATTGATGGTTGTATAGAGGCTTAGGAAAATTTGCCGTGAGGTGGGGCGTACTAATTCACAGCGGATCCAGGTGGACATCTATAACATATGTGGATATGATTTGGTCTAGCAATAAAATACAATATTGCGTGTACTTGTTGACATTGTGATCTATATGTTGTTGTAATAGTATATACACGAAACCACCTTTAAGATATTGATAGCTCATCAAAGGGCGATATCAAGGGGGTATCAGATCTGTTTCTCATAGGACTCGTAACGGTGGGAATCTCTAGTGTTTGATTACTACATGTAGAGTTAGTCGTCGTCAACACTGGTTGATTAATCGACCTGTGACGCCAGTCTGTGCTAGATTGCGGTATCTTTTCGTAGATACGCTAGAGGACATCGTGGACACGAGATTTGACACAAAGGAGTCTCGTCAATAACAGAGGACACAAAGGAGAGCCAAAGTATTGGATATGGGTAGAGGCAATTCTGTGGATTATAACCAACCAGTTTCCCGTCGGAATGACGCATTCAGGCTGACCAAATCGGCACGCCTCGATAGGCCGGAGAGTTGTAACTGTGAAGCACACGATATTGGACGGGACGGCCATATTGATCAAGGCTATAATGACGATGATGTCCACGGGAACTGTATCGAGGATGCTGTTGAAACTGTCCAGCCTGGTAAACGATCGGCTGGCCGCTTGGATGGCCGGCCGTATACAGTTGTCCATTCATTTGAGTTAGTGTCGGATACGATCCATTCTCTAACCCATAAGTCTGCCTCATTGGGAGTGAATAGCCTTCATAACTCGACCGATGTTTGAGGCTGGGGGCGTTGTAGGATATATAAGAAGGCCCATTGCCAAAGGCGCTTCGGTGGCTTGTTTGACTAGTCAATGAACTGTGTCTGCTGTGGTCAAAGGATGGCTCTTGGGAAGTTGCCGCGCCATAATTTGGGGTAGCAATAAGTGGCCATTGGTATTCTCCTGGCTGCACAGGAACACTCCATTGCATGGTACTAGGCATTTGAGAAGGTTGCTTCGGGTGCCCTTGACCTTGAATCTGGGTTGCGGTATAATTATAAAAACTTTCTTGACTTGATCGTCGGGATGAACTAGCGCGGTTGGTGTTCATCGGATGGTTGTAAGGAGGATAGCTTTGGACGCCTCCTCGACTAGATTTGTGAGACAGTGTGGGCGCAACTGGCTTAGCAGGAGTGGAACGCGGTCGAATTGGTGGAGGAACTCGGAGCTGGCCCATATTTCGCATCGCTAAACTCACAGGCGGAGTCCTAGAAACTGGATACTGTCCTGTAAATGATGGCTGACGAAAAGCGGTTGCGTGCTGTTCACTTTGACTTGGTAGACTACTGTGGCGAGCATGATCGTAAGGCCTTGAATCGATGCCTGCAGAGACGGATAGAGAATACGATCGCCCGTTCGCCGTCGCTGATATATCACGTCGCCCTGCCTCACGTCTGGAAGATGATGAGCTAGGATTGATGTCTTTTAACCTTCCCTGCTCCCATTGCGAGGTCTCATCATGTCCTGGCGTTGGAGCTGGAGCGCTTGGTGTCATGGCGACTGCATCCTCATCATCTGGTTTTGCCTTAGAAAGTAATGGTTTCCTGAGAATAGGATTCTTAGCAATGACGGATGATGCAGCGCGGGATATTGTGGAGCTTATTGAATGAATATGGAAGCTCGATTTGCGACTACGCATTTTGTCTTGACCTTTCTGGGCACTGGAACCATCAGTTTGAGAAGCTTGTGTGTCAGAGTGATGGTCTTGATTCTGAACCGTTGTGTTGGCGGCTGTGGATGTAGAATTATCTGGAGGATTCAGTACCGTTCCAGGGCGCTCATGCATTTTTACCTGCAGATCGCGAGGAACGGGAGGTATCCTGACGTCCATGTCGGAAGTTTGTGCTGCTGGGACTGCTAACGGCTTACGGGAACCGCTCAAAAAACGATGAAGTCTTCCCGAGTGTGGTGCACCGCTGGTGCTCGGAGATGAAGTCGCCATGGGGTTTGCCCCTGGGGCTGACTGGTGTGACGGCAGAAGTGTATGATTTACGGAGCTCGTAGTTGGGGGTTGAACAGGTTTCCTGGCGGGAATCTGCTTAGATACCCTTGTATAAGCATCCTTCTCTGGGACTCGAGGTGGCGGTCCATCAGGTGAAGACGGCTGGGGTTGCTCTTTATGGGGGTTAACAGTATTCAAGCCATTAGATGTTGAAATGTTACGCGGCAGGCTTACGGAGTCGAAGGATTGGGCTTGGACTGGAACTTCTTTGACATAGTGGGAATGACTAGTCCTTGGCGGCTCGTCGCGTTTCAAAGATGAAGAGTGAGTAGAGACACTGGAGCTATACCCGGAATCTGCCTTGGACAGAGTTTTGTGAGGGGCGGTGGATAGTGGACTTGCCACGACACCGCTATCTGATCGACTGATGTCTTGCAGCGTTTTATCCTCGGACCCAGTTGGCGGACGTGGCGGTTGTTTGGCGTCATGATCCAGGCGCACATTTAAAATCTCAACGCTATACTCTGGTGCCGTATCTTCGAATAATTCGTCCTCGACAGCAGATTGCCTACTAGTAGTTTGCAGCTCTGGCACTCCAAGGCGGAATTCACTTATTGAAAGTGAACTCAGGGAGAGCTCGAGTTTAGGTAGAAAGTCTACAGCGCTTTCACGTTCACGCGTTACATTGACGGATTTGCTAGCTGAAGTTAGAGAAAATACGGCATCTGATTTCTCATTCTGTCCGTCTTCAACCTCACTTCTAGCGTCAAAATAACTGCCATGCCCTATGGCGGCTGGCGAATTATTGCCAAGTAAACCGTCATCAGCAGTCTCCCGGGCTGGTGTTCTCGCAGGACTGCCATTCGTGATTCTCAGCGTGCCATGTTTGAATGCGCCTGTCTGTTTGTATTCCGTCTCACAAGGTGTTTCCACACGAGGTATGAGGCTCGGATCAAACGACGGAGGCGGAAGAGAGGGAAATCCTGCTCCTACATGTTCTGCAAGATCAGAACGAGACGGTGTTAGCGGTGGATTGAAGCTAATTTGTAGGCTCAAGGGTAGAGTTGAGTCTGCTGGTGCAGGTCGCGTTGCCACTCCTGGGGTCATGAACGACCTCCTGCGCATTGGTGTATAGAGTGAAACATCTGAACTGGTTCGAGGAAGAGCCATGGCGGCATCCACGTGAGTTGGAGGATAGGGGGTGGTGTAACTCTGTCGCCTGGATATAGCCCCTTGGAATTGAGGCTCCGAGATTATCGACTGATCTTCGAAGGGTGGCGCTTCGACGTGATTTAACATCCGCTGTGGTTCATAGGCAGATAAACCATGGTTTAATGAGGGGGTGGTCCTTGGTATGCTGTCATTTTGAGTTAATGATTACATTGCCTTTGATGCAGCCTTGCGTATTATAGGGGACTTACCCTGCAAGGTCCATTGCTTGTTCATAGCTTTCATCTGTGCCCATATAACCGGAACTTGTCCTACTCATTCCCCGATCGCGGCTTGAGCTGGCCACAGCCCCAGCACTCGGCACCCGTTGGCATACAGCCCCCTGAGAGTCGGATTGAGGAAATGGTCGGGAAGAGAAATCTTCAGCAAGCGCTGGGTCACCGTGGGGCACTACCGAATCATCCACTGTAGTGTTCTCGGGCTCAAAGCTGCGTGGAGACGGGACGGGTGTAGAGCTATGTGGTAGGGAAAGGCGCCTCCCAGGAGTAGAGGGAGGGCGCCGAATTATATCAGAAACACCGGTTTGATTCAACAGACCAGCTGCTGCAGGGTTACCAATACGAGGTTTCGAGAGCTTTTGGGTAGTCCTGAAGCCCTTTCTTGGAGCCTCGGTGGAGGGTGTATTCCCCATGCTGTTTAGATAGGATCATTGGTTCCAGCCGACGGGACGGCAGGGAGATATTGCTATAAGAAACTCATCAAGTCCATTCCGCAAAGTGTCCCGAGCGGGTGTCGGCGACTAATAACCTGACACGGCACGTAGATTAAGTGAAGCAGCCAGGAGGAGAAACAGGAGCGGGAACAAGCGCAGGAGGGCTTAAGGCTGGGTGTTAAGCAGCACGGGCCAAACAACAGACAAATGGCAAGCCCGGGTAGTTATCCCCCAGGAGTGCGACTGAGGCTCAAAGAAGTGGTTGGTAGGGTGGACGGCTTCGTGTGGAAACGACCAAATTCACTGAATGCGGCAAACGCCGAGGCTGGTATGTGGTTAGCTGCAGCGCGCTGGCAGCTCAACCTTGTTTCGCCCGGATGGAGGGAGTAGTAGCGTTGGAAACCTTTTTCCGCACACGAAGAAGCACAGAAACGAATGTATGTATACGATAATGTACAGAGAATTGACGCAGAGAACGGAAGCAGAGCCAAGGAAGAAGAAGCCAGGGCAATTGCTGGTGTTTATTAAGGGACTGGGGATTGGGATAGACAGCGAGCAGCCAGATTGAGATGGTTCCTGTGAACAACAAGATGTTTCGTCGTGAGACACCAGACAGACAGACAGAAACGGGAAACAGGCAGAGAAGAAAAAAAAAGATAGAATAGAAACGCAGCGACGCCGCCCCAGTGTAGAGATGACCAGCATCAGTCGGCACCAGTGCCGATGCGAGCAAGGAGGCTCCAACCGTCGTGTGTATCAAGTGTATGATGCACGTGGAGGATCGAAAGAGGTAGGTGAGCTAGGGGGGTGAGCTAGGTGCCGCTAAGGCCGACACGGTGGGGGGGGAGGGCCGGGTCGGAAGAGCCCTAGGGTGCGGCCAATAGGCGGGCTGGTCACTATAAAGATGCGGCATTGGGTGCGTTACCAGCTCGCTTGCCAGCCTGCTACAGGCCTGCTACAGGGCCTAAACTGCTGGTTAATGAAGCTTTAGTGAGTCTTAGTGGCTTCACAGTGGGTAAGTAAGTGCCCTGGTAGGTAGGTAGGTAAGCAAGGAGGACAAACAAAATCGAGATCTCGTTAAGAACGGCCCATAAATCTACGGGACGTGTTGAGCTCTACACGACGCTAATGGCTCGATGGGAAGTCGATGACATCTTCGAGCGCAGCTGCAATAGAAAACGGTTATACGCCCGCAGGATATAAGCCCATTTCCAAGTTTGCGGAGAAGCTCAAGCCGGTTAGCATATCTATAGGTGTCTATATAGAAGGATTTTATGCAGTATATCAGTGCCAACTATTCCCCAATCCGAACTGTCATGACCAGCCACTCGCTCACTCTCTCCCGCCTCTCCAGACTCTCCAGGCTCCCTCCCTCTCTCTCTCTCTCTCACGACACCTGCCAAGTAACAGGTTGTGCCAGTTTGTGACATTGTCATTCGAGCTACCGTAGTTACTTGTTTCTGTAGAGGAGGTAGGGGAGTCCCTTGGACGTGTTACACTACATGGCAAATGCCTCGTCATCAGCACACCTCCTCGGCCGCATCGGTCACGATCCTCAACTCAGCTTCATTTATTCTCAAGAGCTAGCCGCGACGATGGTGTACTCAGCTCGTTGCACTTCTTGAATTGCCAACCATCCTTGCCGGTGTCACTGAAACGTTAGGTAGACAGTAAGCCCAATACCTACTTTACATAATGGAACGCATGACAACCTCAATATAAATTGTTCATCAATAGCGCCAGCATTAAACTTGACATTGGAATTGTCTGCGTCTGGGGATCAACCTTCAGCTGACCCCGGACTCGCGACGTGTCTTCCATGAAGGAATGCGTGCGTTTTTAGCGTCTAGTAAATCGATACCAATACCACCGGCTCACCCAATCTACTTAAGTAAGTAAGTACGTACCAGTAAGTAGTACTGCAGAACACTGGATGCACCGTCGATCATGGTGCCATATTCACTGGCTGACGCGATTCAGTCCAATCGCTACCTTCCATACTGGCTATAAGCTAGGAAGCCAACAATCGACCACAAACAAACAAGAAGACGAGAGATTATCTGTCGTCATCCAGGAGGCCGACAAATGAAATGACCCATGGTTATATGGACCGTATTGGCCATAAGTTTTGGCCGAGTACTTCTGACCTCAAAGCATCCCACTGTAACATGCCCGAGTAAATCTGATCATTATCGCGATGCCAAGTAGCACCACGGTTCCCATATCATCGTATAACTACCCCTTCATTCCCAAACAAGTTTGAACTTGGTTTCTACACCGACACACCGCCCTCATACTATACTATGTACACGTCAGCAGTTCAACTCTACAAACTGCATCGCACCGAGCAAGAGCCGAAAGGGATAGACTACCTATGCCTACTCAGCGGTAATACACAATTCACTTGCCCTCGTTCCCTCCTCGTCCGGCGAAAACCAGGACCAGTAACCACCAAGAAGATGAATGCTCGGGTGATAAGCACTAGATAGCAACGAGCAAGGGATCCCAATCCGGCAAACAAGTCTTCCCAGCCAGCCAGCCAAGGCGGGACATACTCTGACATACCTAGGACATGGGTGGCGTAAATGCTCCGGCTTGTTTCAAGACAGCCTTGACATGCCAGTCGAGCCAGTCTTCGCAGGATTCAGTGAGCTTCGCCTTGTGGAGAAGTTTCCTTTACGCCTTGCAAGAAAATCTCCGATTGCCGGCCACTATGTGGACTAGGTAATGTAATGGCCATATTCGCAGATTATGAGCAACGTTGCGCGCATAGCTACTGTACAGTTTCATTTTCATCTGTCTACCGACGCACAAGCATGTATGTGCATTCGGCATCTCAGCATGCAGCATGCATCTTGTAAGTAATCTGCAGCCCAGCATTTCATACAGGTTCTCTAGAGTTGCACGACTAGCCCGTGAGCTGAAAGACGATTACAGCCACACACCCCTCATTTCAATGATATATATATGTTTCCAGATCATCCGTGTCTCTGTCACTTTACTCGAGCTTTTAGAATGCGAGAATAGAAACAACAAAGCATTGGTAGTCATCAATGCATCTGATTTTCTTCGTGGCCTTGGAGATCATACAATCTAGGCCCGGCTGGGGCTATGAGCCAAGATGTTCTGTATCTGGGGTCATAGCCCACACCAGCAGAAACCGTAGCTCTAAGTATGGTGCATACGACGCAACGCCGAAGAGTCGGCACATCTCATCATCTGAAAACCAACCAATCGCGAATAACACTTTTTCCGGCCTCCGAAAGCCGCCAGTGTCGCGCGCATACAATCTAATGACAGTCAAACTACCTAATTACAGAGGTCCATAAAGATTGGCACCTTCTACATACATCTTCTGAGATTAGAGGTATTCTTTGATGGACACAATTCCCTTGTCGGGGATTTATGTGTGCATTTAATGTGAGACGCTTTCCGCCGAACTTTCCACACTGTACATTACCTAGATCATACGCCATTCCAAATAGCCGCGGCGGCAAAACAACCCGCCCCCCGTGCCGCGAATATACCCCCCTGGGTAGGAGGATATCATGCCGTACTAAGCCGGGATTGTTGAATTAAGAAAGCGCATACAAATAAGTGAATAAGTTTCTTGGGAGGGGTGTTTGACATGCCTTGTATGAAAGAAAGACAAGAACATACCTTGCAGCTGTCAATGCAATGCTCACCTAGTTTTTCGTTTTCAGTTCGATGCTTATATCAGGCCAAAGGCTGACTAACACGAGAACTTCACGAAGACTCCCCCTCGCTCACAGCAGCACCGGGATTTACATAATGGGTAACTTTCTCATAACATCAGGATAAGATCTAGCATATTACGAGCAATTTCTACTTCTGTGCCATGTTTCTGAATCTCAATATAGCTTAAACACGAGAGATATCTCTTGAATTGAAAGAATGGAGCGGTCTAGGTCACGTTACTGCCCCCTTTAACATGTGCGCTTCCTGCAAGGTTCTTAATCATCTAACAAGGCACTCTGGCTTAACTTACAAGATTTCCCGAAACTTTAATCGCCCATTTCCCATACTCGTTACAGATGTAGATATCACGTGTCCTGTCCGCTGTGTAAAGTGACCTCCTCCGAAGATCCAATAATTAGGCCCCGTGACCTCGCCAATAAGGCAAGTACCGGACTGAAATTATCAAGATTTCTGAGGACAACGTGCTACAAACAATGCCTCGCGCAAAATGTGGTCCGGCAACCAGATAAGCTGAGTATCGCCGAGTCCGTGGCTGCTTACGTTGAACTTTCGGCGCAGAGAAGAATGGGTGTAGTGATGCTAGAGCCTGTAGCAATATCAAGCCCCGAGTTATATTGTGATCATGTAGTCTACTCGCCAGCCGCGAATAGAGTTTGGTACGCATTGAGGGATATATACCTAATTACTGCTGCCTTTCGTATCGAGAAGAAGAAAACCAAGCGCACCAGTGGCCGAGTTGGTACGGCCTAGCGAAGCATAATATATGTTTGTTATAACAGCGTTGAGAGCGTCTAGTAACCTTATCCTGCAGCGTTGGGCACCGAGGGTTCGATTCCCTCGTTGGTCGAAATTTGTCTTCTTTTCATCTTTTTGTCTGATCTTATTGTTTTGTTGATTTTTTATCTCGTCTTCTTATCCTGCTTCCGTAGAGAGGGAAGGAAGATAATCGCTACGCCGATAAGGCTCTCTTTATTATGCTCTCCAACTTTGAACTTGTTATAACTCCGTCGATATGTCATGTTTTCATTTACCTACTGTGCAGTATCCACGTCAACCGCCTGCATGTTGTGGCTCGGGGATCAAGGTGCTGTATATATAGTAAGAAGGAATTAGTGAAGATAGCTCCCTGCTCCTTATGAATATACCTAAACAGGGGATTTGTCATAACTTGTATATATGCTTTAAAACTGTACTGGAATTGAATGATTCAATTCTCATGAAAACCAATGATCTTCATCTCGCCAATCTGTCTACTCTCTCGCCATCAACTAAGAATGCCTATCATTGAACTAAGGGCGAGTATCCGAGGCCTTATCTTGGTGGACATCTAGAGCTACTGATCCTCATGCCATAGAATTACATATGATAATCTCAAACTAGTGCTGACGATACATAGGGACTGATATTCCAAGGCACCTCGACCTGACGCTCTAGCACGAAGTCAAGAATGGATCCCGCGATGAAGTAATTACAATGGATCATTATGACAAAGGGTCCTCATTATTGGAAAATCATGAGAGATTGCGCAGATTGCCAATTATTTCGAGCTTTTGGGTCTAGGCATACGGGCGAGTGATATTTTGCAATTGTAACTCCTAGCAGTAAATACCAATGGCTCAAGACACAGACTATATAGATCGGCCATGCTAGGACAGCAAAATGATCATACTTTATAAAGTATGTCTTTTGGGAGCTGTTCCATCATGATCTTATCGACGGCATTGAGGTTAAAATGTCCACATTCGACTAGCACCCGTCTGAGATCATTCAACACGACCGTCTATGACCCGGACCTAGCTCCCTATCAATATAGAATGATAGCCACTTCCTTTGCTATTTCTCCCCACAGAATGGTTCATGAGGCTAAATTGTTCATTCCGAAAGTCATACCATAGCATCATCATCACTACTAGAAGTTCCTCGACAATACCATCATCAGCCAAGAGATCAAAGCCTCTACTCCCAACAACAGAACTGACTCGCGGTGATTCTACATCGTGTAGTACTCCTGAATAACTACGACCTTGCTGTTCCCGATGAGATAGATAAGCTGTGGATGGACGTACATCCATGTCTGAGCTTGAGTAAGACACTGCCGCACATGCGCTCGATTAGGATACGCATGGTGTCTGTTTTCGTATATCATTCCTCGGCGATACATGTACATTCCGCGACCAGGCCCGCGTTCAGCCAAATATGCTCGAGCATGAGCATGAGTATTGTACGGTGTAACCATCCATGATCACGGTGTAGCTAGCCTATGAGCAGTCGTGGGAGCGCTTTGGAATTTACCCTTTGTGTGTTTTTGGTCCGTCTCAATCGTCTCACCACTCAGTAGAGGGAACGCGGGATATAGCATATCCCTTGATTGGGAATTTCATTTCCCGTCTTGTTCTATGATGAGACTCTTTGATCATGTTTCAGGATGTGGCTGAGTGGAGATGAGCTGGTTATTCATTCATGTGATAATTTCAACTCGTGACTAGCGACAACGTGTTGTGTGATCCCAACTCTTGATGTTGTACATTACTTGGTAAGTATATGCATGTGAGACAAAGAACACAAGTCTGCATGTACAGGCTTGTGAGAAAGTAGGTAGTAGAGATATCTCTCAATTGGCCACCTCGCTTCTCATCTCATTCTAGGTAGTCTATTGACATATCCAAAAATATAGGCTCGAAGAATCTGGCACTGTTTCGGGCGATAATTCTCATTAGACTGAGAAAAGGATGCTACGGCGTCCTTGGTTACCATGGAGCGGCGCGCCTTTGACTGTGAATGAGCTCAGTTGCTCATCACATTGAGATGGAGTGAATCAAGCCATATACTCACTCCATGCTACTCCTAGCTCCTGATTTGAGGTGTTATTATAAGGTTTCTTACTGTATTAAGAAGCTGGCGTGGTTGGTCAATTGTTTTCAACATAGCCTGTATGACATAGTTAAGTACTTTAAGGAGGCGTGCTTCAAAGCGCGATACAGCAGATGTCTATTCTTGACGATAGCTTCTATGGAAGATAAATTCTTCTCATCCTGGGAACGAACATATGTTCACATGTCGCCACTGTGGAGTGGCGCAATCAACAAATACTATGTTAACATGAGACCTTAGAATGGTCAGAGTGATAGTTTGAAGATCGACTACCAACGCATACCGTGTGGCAACTGCCTCACCAGCAATGCATACGAGCACGATCACAGCGGCGGGTCTTGCGGCATCGAGAGACGTCTAACAGAGCGTCACGAGCGCCAGGTAGGGCACAATTGATCGTAGACGCGATGTATTCAACAACATTACAACAAGAGCCTAATCCTCTCGTTCACCTATAACCATCGTACAGCCTGACGGCCCAATCCAAACCTCGTGAACACGGCGGGGATCGACGTCGACGCGAGCGCCGGCTGAAAAGGTCTCCTTGGTCGGGGTTTCATCTTTGGGGTAGGTGATGGTGAGGCTGCCCCGGATGATCAGGTGAGTAGCCAGACCATTATGGCTGTGCGGGCGATAGTATGCATTGCTGCGCATGCACAAGCGGTCAGCTAGCCTCGTCTCTCTCTCCCTCTCCCCCTTTTCTCATTTCAATTTCAACCTAGTGGAGCTGTGCAAGCGAGGGAGTGGGTGAGTGAGTTTGAGTTTATGACGTACGGGGCATCTGTCCATGTGTAGACGTCTGTAAAACCCCATGACCGCACCTCGTCTTCATACTCCTTGGGCGACTTTGCGGGGGACGTCATGTCGGGCATCGTTCCCAGCAGTCTAGAATTCCCCGTGTGATTCACACTCAACAGGCTTGGAATTGAAGAGACGACGCCCCTCACTCGCAGGTGGGCGCAGACAGGTCGTTGCGGGGATCGATAAGTAGGTGCCAGGAGTTTCGAAGTCGGTGAGACAATGAGGGATAGAGGACACTGACTGGCACGGCGCATATGGTGTAGGTACCTTAGGTAGGTAGGTTTGCAGGTTGGTTGGTGGTGGCTGTGAGGTGCTGGATGTGACTCTTTGGGAGACGGTGACGTCGTTGGGGTGGTTGAGAGCTGACGGGGATGCCCGAGTATATGTACTGCTTGCTGGTCTGAGGCCGTGATCCAGTAACGGGTCGGCTCGGGGTTTCACACATTACGGATCGATAGTTGTGCATCACTTTACACCAAACAGAGTACAATCTACTACCGGTATCTATGTAGGGAGCTACATAGGTTGGCACGTGCTGCTACTCCTACTTACAACATCTGTAACACTGTTCAAGGAAAACATGTTTCCAGACTCACGCTTTCACACTGCGAGATTGTACTTGCATAGGTAGTATAAGTAATTAAGGTGAACTTGATAGGTAATTATTCGAAGGGAATCAAGCTCCACTGTCAAAGGTGTAGAGTGACATGTTAGGTCAAGTATATATGTACTTACATATAAGTACCTAGTTGATTTGCTGATGTGTGAAAACCCGAGCCGGTTGGAGTGCCCAAGGCCCGCTAAAGTGAGACCACTGACCCGCCTAAGCGCTGCGGGTCTGAGACTTGCAGCGTTCCTACATCTGCTCTGATCTGCTCCAGTGCTCTCTGCCAGTCGGGTGGCCCTGTATCCTCGACCCTTACTCGATTCCAATCCGTCCATATGAGAGGCCCAAATCATCGACGAGCACCAGCTCAGCCTCCATGCAAGTGTGTGCTGGATTCTCTGTTTTCCATCCATCAGACCGAATCGCACGCTGGTATGACTAGCACTGCCCACGATGTCCCTGCATGCCATGCGCACCGTCATGTCAGCGCCGACCAACGTCGCAACGACAGGGTGAGATGGAATGATGATTCATTGACCGTCGCTTGCCATTGCCTTTCTCCCCAGCACCTCCTCTTCTGCTCCTCTCATACCGGTAGTACAATACAGTACGTAATGTACAATAGGTGAGCCGAAAGAATTAAGCAATTTAGCAAATCGATTAAAACTTAAAGCAAAGTGTTTATTTTTATCCAGTCGACCTGTCTAGTTTCCGCCCCCATCCAATCAAGGTCCAGTCTACACTCCATCATCGTATCCCCATTGGCCTTGGAATGGGTGATCTTCTTGTTGACTTGGGTCCAAGCTGGAGCTGATACATGCTATTAGTACCTAATAGTACATAGTTACTTTGATGCAGTGTAGGACATCTGGACTCGACTCCACAAACCTGACGATCCCTGCAAACAGAACCAACTCAGCCCCAGAGTCATTCGCTTTAACGATATGGGTTCCGACTACCTATTGAGAACATAAGCAAGTAGTAATTGAGAGAAAACATAGGTACACTGAATCCCCCAGACTTCCAGTATGATGAAACGTCATACCCGCATCTCAATTCATCCTCTTGCGGAAACTCCAGCTACTGCTCAAGTCTCGTGCCTCCAACTACCTAGGTACATCATCGACACTACACTACAGCCTTACGTACATGAACGAGTCCCCTTTAGTGGCACCATAGCCGGGTTTTGGGCCCTTGGCAACTCCTTGGGCAGGTTGACTAGCTCGACTAGTTATCAATTGGATTCAGACTGGCACAGACTGGCTCCCGTGTCTGCTCCCGTCTTCCTGCTTGGTCGACTCTGGTCGAGTCTGTAGCAGGCCTGGTGTCAACCGTCGTGGTGGTGATGGTGGTGGTGGTGTAGTGGGGGCCGTACCCGTGGAGCTGGGTTGACTTGGGCCTGAGTGAGGCTAGCCCGAGCTGAACCGCCCTAAACCCCCTGTTCAGACGGCTTTGGTTACCCTAAAAGGTGCACTATCTCCACCATATCTTACATGTACAGCAGCAGCCCTTGCATTTATCTACGCCCATCCCGACCTACAGCTGGGTTATACCTATATTCTTCAAGTTCTTGTCAGCACCATCTTTCTATCTTACCTACTAGCTACGACCAAAAAAACAACAACAACCTATTCCTACAGTAGCTTCTTGATGTGTTACCGACTTGACCATCTACTATGACATTCGTTGCGGAAGACTCAGCTCTCGCCATCGAGCGCCCGTCGAGCCTCCCATTCGTGCTGTACGAATGAGATTCAGAGCGTAGTCGCTGTGCTCTGTGAAATCGTTAACGAAACCTCCTCCTTTTTCCTCAATACCAGGACCGCGATCAAGCTCCAATTATGTGTCTCAAGGTGCGATTTGTTTTGATCTCGCTGCCTTTCCCCCTTATCTACTCTGCACTCTTGGTGCTCCTGCCTCTGGGATACAGTACTGATCTGATGCTTTTGCAGATGTCTAAACCCCGGGCTACCGCCCCGGCTGGGCCGTCGCCTAGCCGTCGCCACACATTACAGGTTCATGGCACCGAAGCCATCTCCTCGCTCAAACGTGCAGTAAATTTAGCACTACTCCTTGCTTCCCCGGCGGCTATACACCTTGACGGCGACGGATTAAAGAGAGACCTTTACCTGAGTGCCACTCTTCAACGTTCCATTCGAAAATTATTTAGTGATCTTTGTCGCGGACAAGCTACATTAGACCGTAAATCTCTACAAAACTTCCTAGAGGTTGAACAAGGCGAGGCACAGGACAAGGTTTTAGGGACACTTACCGAGGACACATACAAATTCGAACAGTTCCTTGAGGTATGGTGGAGACAATTTGGTCTCGAAATCGAAAACCCCGTTTTTTCGGACAAGGACTTGACGAAACCAATCACCAATTATTTCATCGACAGCAGCCATAATACGTACTTATCAGGTCACCAATGGAAAGGGAAAGCTACAGTAGAAACATATAAACGCGCCTTACGCCAAGGGTGCAGATGCGTTGAGATAGATGTCTGGGACAACGATGCCTCTCCGTCTCGTGATAAGTCATTAGCAGGGTCCACCAGAGACAGTCCAAGATCAGAACGCTCTGTGAGGTTCTCAGCGAACACTTTGCATACGGCAGGGTTTCATATCAAGAGGGTCGTTGACAATAAGATCGAACGGACGCGAAAATTCCTTGGCGTTGAAAAGGTCCACAGTCATAGCCCGAGATGTAGCAAGTTCGATATCTCAGGTCCATCATCTGGCTATGGGAATGGGCTCGCCCTAGGTCAACCCGACGCTGACGCCGACTCCGACGAGACCCTTGGTAGCCAGTATGGTACAAGTAGAAGGGACACGGCTTTGACAAGAGACGAACCAATCGTCATGCACGGATACACGTTCACTCAGCCGATAGGCTTCCGTGAAGTATGCGCCGCGATTCGCGAGGCTGCTTTTGAAACAACAGACTTGCCCATTATTGTGAGCTTGGAAGTGCATGCCCTCGCAGATCAGCAGGAACGCATGGTTGACATCATGAAGGAAGAATGGGATGGGCTCCTTGTTGAGCGACCTTTTGAAGCACTTGTCAACGGCACCATGCCGAGACTCGATGAGCTGCGCAACAAGATCCTCATCAAGGTGAAGAAAGCCACTTCGAGCACAGAGAATCCGATGGCGGTAGGCTCCTTATCTCCAAATCTCAGTACTGTGGACTGTGATTCTGGTTCTGGACCAGAAGACGATCGATCACCTAAGCGGCCTCCGCCGAAAGTGCCCATTTGCGAGAATCTAAGTAGCCTGGCGGTATACACTCACAGCGAGCATTTCGTGAATTTCGAGTCGTCGGCGGCCAAAATCCCTTCTCACATATTTTCAATAAGTGAGAACAAGATACTAGAACTGTGGGAGTCGAAGCGAGACGAGCTATTCACACATAACCGCCACTACTTCATGCGGGCCTATCCCAAGGCCACCCGCGTAAACTCGTCGAACCCTGATCCTACTCAATTCTGGCGAAAAGGCGTACAAATGGTGGCAATGAACTGGCAAAAATGGGATGAGGGTATGATGCTCAACAGAGCCATGTTCTCTGGTGAAAATGGTTGGGTTCTCAAACCGGCTGGTTATCGTAGTCACCTCGATGAGAACGATTCAACTTGTCATCTTTCTCACCGTGCATTCGACCTCATTATCACAGTTTTCGCTGGGCAACACATCCCTTTACCTGAAGATATGCCACGTCACAAGTCACATTCATTCAGACCTCTAGTGAAGTGCGAACTTCATGTTGAGAAACCAGAAAAGCGGTCTGGAAGCCCTGGGGAGGGAGGTATCAGGTTCCGCTCCATTGAGTGGGACAAGCAGACAGGTAGCGGGAAGACTGATCATCCGGAATTCGGGGCCGACAGTCGGGAGCTTTGCTTCAGGGATATCCCTCGGGTCGAGGAGTCGCTTAGCTTTGTCAGGTAAGGATATTTTACTGTTCTTGAGTAACACTGCTTTCCATTCAGTTTCCCCTAATAACTTGTATCCCCAACACCGAACATTTGCACCGTGATCACAGAGGTACCCAAGTTTTATCACCATCTCTCATACCAAGAAACCACCTGTCATATGTAGGTATCCGTCAAGCGACGAGAACCGCTCGATCTCCATCTGGAATTTGTCCCACGGCACCAGGCCGAGCCCATGACAACGGCCGAGTATATCCTCGTGGGCTGACCATCGCGAACGATTTTCCTTGATCCCATACCCGACTATCCCCCTTTCCTATCTATCACCTATTATTCGACTGTCTATGCTCGCACAGTCCCGTCATGATTCCGCCATTGCCAGCTAACATTTCCATGAATAGGTTTCGTGTTGAACATGAGGAATCACGGTTCATACCTGGTGGGGATCTTGCGGCCTGGGCTTGTATTCGCTTGGACCGCCTGGCGACTGGTTTCCGGCTTATTCCGCTTATTGACACTGATGGTCGAGACTCCAAGGGCGTTCTGCTGGTGAGGGTGGCGAAGAACTATCGATTATAGGTGGCCCAGCAGAGGGGCCGTCGGGATGGTTCCCTAGGCGACGCTTGCTCACAGTCACCTGCAATGTTGTGGTTGATTGAGTATCTGCGGAGCACTTTGTATCCTGCCCTACGACTCTTGAAGCATCCCTACATTTGCCTAGCTGATGCCACAGTAGGATCCGGCGGAAGCTCCGATCGAACCACATCACTGGGATACAGCCAGAGTCACATTTCCTATGTTTGTATTTGTGTGGGAATTTTAACAAACATCGTTGGCATGCATACCATATTCTTTATTCTTTCTTGCTTTTTTCTGTCGTTTGTCTTTTGTCGGATAGCTACTTGGAGTCATCACTCGAAACGGGACGGCATTGGATGGTTTGGGATACCCGAAGACGGCGACCTCACGCCGCTTGCATTTGCATTTTACTGGAGCAAGTCTTTTGTTTTGCCGTGTTTGGTGTTGCTGCTGCTATCCTGGCTTATTGGGCTGCTGAGCAAAGCAGCTTACATCATTCTCTGTGCGGAACCCACTCTGTATCTTGGTAGTCAGTCAAATCAGTCAGTCATAGATAGAGTAACTTGGAACAGGATATACATCCTTAAAACAGACAAATGAATCACATAAATCCTATGTTGTGATGATGATGAATGATGTCAACGCTATGTTTACATGTATGTATGTTTGTTAGGACACGTAGGCCCCGACCTCAAGGGTCATTAGCCGGATATTCCTCAGACCTTTGACCGATAGGGTCTCAGACGTCTGACTTGCTGGATTTGTGGATTTGTATAGTTGTAGTGTTCTCGATCTTGTAGAACGAACGGAGGAGCTTGTTCTTATTAGCGTACCTAGGAGAGTTTAATTTGATGTATTGTAGCTCTTTGTATTCTATCGCTGGGAGGAATAGCTTAGTGACGTTTGATCTCGAACGTCAAAAACGACGCCGTTAGACGTTCGAGCAGTCTAACGGTTATTATATAGCCCCACTTACGTTCAACATTTGACTAGTAGATATGTAGATATAGTAGTTTTATTTTAGTTACCTGGATATTGATTGAGGTCTAGTCCTTTATCGCTATTGGATTGTGGGAAGTAAGTTCGATGGGAAGGATTATCTAGAGATATAGTTATATCTAGGTATATTTGATATTTCTCAAAATTTGAACGCCGTAACATGAATTGTATGTAGTTCATGATTCTTCTAGCTAGCTGAATGTGTAATGTATCTGCATACTTGGTTGCAGTTTATTCATTCAATTGTCCGGGTTACGAACGAACGAGTGAGTACATCTTATGATTGAAGAAATTCGGAGATCACTCGGCCCCGCCGGAAAGAGGTGAGAAGGGGAAGCCCCCCGTCATTGTGATGATGGTATACGTACTTCACTCGTGTGCAGGAGGCTAGATTCACAGCGGTATAGATCGGTCCAGAAGATGGCTTGGTTGCTAGAGATCAATGTCTGAGTGTAGTTATGTAATTGTGCGCATCTATCTGTCTGTTTTCTATACGAGCTACGCATTATCTTTTGTCAGAAAGGGAAGGCGGTGATACTTGCGTTCTATATACTGGAATGCTGGGAATCTGTATATAAGACCTTCATCTAGCTAGAATAACTATATTGTAACTTAGACTTTTAAATAATCTAATGGGATTATATATATTACTTTTGATAGGTTATAAGCCCGGATATTTATTTAAGCGTATCTTTAGCTATTAAGGGTTAAAATTATACTTTATCTTTAACCTTTTACTATTTATAAATATAAAATAACAATATACATTAGAATTTTACTTTATTAATCCTACGGATAAAGATTATATTAAAATATTATTACTTCGAACGATAGTTAATAAGGCTAGGTTTTAAAGGCTAACTTAAAGAATTTTCGACCTATTAATTCTTTAAAACAGATAAAGGTTAAATAAATTATATATAACCAGCTATTTGGAAATTCCTAATTTAACCTTTTCCTTTTAATAATTATAGGAATAATTATAATTATATTATTAATATTTAATAATAAAAATGTTATTAAATATTTATTATAACCTTTATAATTAGGTATAACTTTAAGCATTTAATATTATTTATTTTTTAAACATTGAAGCTTTTCTTTATTTTATATATAAAGTTTTAATATAATTTAAATATCTTTTCGATTAAAAAAATATAGGTAATTAAAATATTAATTTAAATTTAAATTATATTAATTAACTACTTTTATCTTTATTATTATTATTAAAGGTATTTAAAGTTTCTTTTTACCCTTTAATACTTAATAATTAAGATCTTTTTAACTATAAAGTTAATATTTTATTTAATTATTAAACCTTAAAATTAACTACTTTAAAGGACCTTTTTATTAATTTTAATACCCCCCTTTTTAATATTAATTTTTAAGTTAAAAAATCTAATTTAAATTTACCCTTTATTTTAATTAAAAACTTTTAAGGTAATTACCTTATAAACCCTTTTTTATTAAATGCCCTTTTAAAAGATTTATATTAATAATATATTATAATATTAAACTTTAAAAAAAAAATTAATTAGGAATTATTAATCGTTGCTTAATTCTATATTATAAAACCCCTTATAGCTATTAACCTATTTATTAAATTAATTAAGCTAACCCTATTAACTATTATTATATTACTTATAATACCAATAATTAATTAAAATATTATTAAATAGTATTAAGGAGTTTAAAAAGGTAACCTTTTTTAATAATTTAAAATAATAGTTAAAGTGGAATTAAAACATATAAAAAAAATTTAGCATAAATCTAATGGATATTTATAATTAATGGAATTAAACCAGCGTTTCTAAGTAACGTTTTTAAAGTTAAGTTAAAAGCATTGTTTTATTATTAATCCCGCAATAAAGTGCGTGGAAAATTCTAACTATATAGGCATTCCAGCTAATCCTTAAAACGTAGCGCCCCTGTTAGAAGCGCCCTTATAGGTGCGCTTCTGCCGGGGCGCAGTGCGCCCTTATCAGGGGTGCACTGCGCCACTAGCTAGAAGCGCTGCGCCACTGGCAAAAGCGCTGCGCCATTAATGAAAGTACTACGCCGCTCTATCACACACCCCCTAATTAGACAGCATCGCTATATAACTAACTACTTAACTTCGGCGCTCCGTATAACTAATAAACTATAACGCACCTAATACTTCCTTTATATATTTAAACCTATTCCTACCTTTTTAACTTTAAAGGCATTTTTACTTAATTTCCTTTTAATATATATTTAACCCTTTATTAATTAAAATAAATAAAATAACTTAAATACCTTATACTTTACTATTTATTAATATATTTACCTTAATTAATATTCTTTAAATTTATAACGTTAAATTATATAATTATTTTTATATACTATTTATAATACCTTACTTTTAATATTTATTATAATAGCGTTTAAAGTTAATATATAAAATTTATATTATTCATTATTTAATATTTATTAAAATAACTCTTATTATTTATATTTATTAAATATAACATTTAAAATTAATATATTAATAAATATTTTATTAAAAAGTATTATTATTATATAAAGTTTTATTATTTATTTATTTAATATTATTATAATAATTATATATTTAAAAGTATAATATATAAAAAATATATATCCCCTTTAATATTTTAAAATAAAGCTTTTTCCCTTTTCTTTTTCTTTTTTATTTTTTTATAATTTTTAATATATTATATAATATATATAATACCTTTTATTTTATAATATATTTATTAACTTTTTACTTTTTATTAATAGTTAAAACTTTATTTAATAAGTTATTTTTTTTATATAATATTATTTTCCTTAAAATATATATTTTTTAAAAGTATATTTATTATAATTTAATATTATTTATATTATTAATATTATATACTTTTAAAGTTTAAAAAATTATATTAATATATATATATAAAAATATTATTATAAACTTTTTCCTATTTTTATTTTATTAACCTTTCTTTTTTAAAAGAAGGTAATAATTTTAATATATAAATATATTTTTATAGCTTATTTTTAATTAATTCTTATAAAGTATAATATATTTTTATTTAAAGTTTATAAAAAATATAATATAAATATTAATATAGGAAAAACTTAATATAAATTTTAACCTTCCCTTTTTATATTTATTTAATTTTAGCTTTACCCCCCCTTTTTTTTTTATACTTATATTACCTTTATATCCAGCTTTTCCCCTTTATTTATCTATTCCTATTATTTTTATTATTATTATTATTAATAATAAAGATAAAAATAAAAATAAAAATAATAATAATAATAATAAAAATAATAAAAAAAAAGAAAAGAAAAAAAATATTTTAATTATTATATATATTATTTATACCTTTATTTACTTTTATTATACCTACTTCCTTTATTACCTTTAGCACCTAGTTACTAATAATACTAAAACCTACCCTAATTCCCTATAATTAATATGCTTAATCCTCCTTTATAAAAAGGTTAAATATTTATAAATAAATAGTTAAAAAGGGTTTTTAATACTTTTAATATTAAAAAAATTATAAATTATATATACTTATATAAATATTTTAAATATTTCTTTTTTATTATAAGGTATTTTTAATATTTTTAAATTAATAGTATAAAAAAAATTAAAGTAAAATTATTAAACTTTTATAATTATAAAGTTTATAATATATATTTAATTAAAATAGTTAAGCTAATTAATTTTATAGCTTTTATTATACTATTATTATTATTATTACTATTATTACTACTTTTTTAACCCTTATAGTTAATAAAAATATAAATTTAATTCCTTTCCTATAATTCTTTTAATATATTTTAATTATTTAATAAACATTTAAACTATTTAAAAAGTTTATATAGCTTTTTATAAAGCATTTTTTTAAAGGATACCTTTATAAAAGTTATTAAATTTTATTATACTATTTATTTTTTAAAATAATAAAAGAAAAAAAAAATAAAGAAAAATGTTACACCTTTTTTTATTAATTAAGTAATATTTATTCCTAGTACTATTATATTTAATAATTTCCTATCCTTTAAAAATAAAAATAAAAAAAATAAAGAAAAAGAAAAAAAAGATAAACTTATTATACCTAATTCTTTTTTTTAAAAAGGATATTTTCCTTTTTTTCCTTTTCCTCCTATTATTATACTATTATTTTTATAAAGTATAATCTATTA